ATAGAAATGTAATAATAATAATAATAATAATAATAATAATAATATAGAAATATGGCAGACCCATTTTCTTGCCATTTGCTCAAACAGCTGGTTAGGCATTGTGAAAGTTGTAGTCACAACAACAGCTGAAGGGCCACATCTTCCCCAAACACAAGTAGTAAAGAGAGAAACCCAAACAGCAAATAGAAAATTAAAGGCACAATTCCATACAATTTTAGACAGCCAAAAAAAGCGGGGAGGGTAGGACATGCTGAGAGTTGTAGGCCTTCTTCCTATCTAAACTTACATAGCTTTATGCCCTGAGAAAATTGATTTTAAGAAGAGAAAATGGAGTCAACTCAACGCAAGGGCGGGAAAACGTGCCGTGTGATCCTTTGGCCAAAAGCGAGGAAAATGCTACCTGCACTAGATAAAAAGTCAGTGAACATGAGAGTGAATATTGTGGGAGGTTTTCTGTCTTCAGCCCTAGAAATATGGAGAGTTTTGTTTTGTTTTTAAAGCAGGACAGGTGGAATTTGCTCTAACCACTCAGCCCAGTTAGGGAGGGAGAAACGTCTCGAAAACAAAAGGCTGCTTTTGTTTGTGAGGTAAATAAGGCCCGTTCCCCACACAGGCCTCAACCCTCAGCCCTACTCAAGGAACGGATTTTGGGGTCTTCTTGGCTTGGCCTCTTTCCACCTCAAAATGGCTCGGTCTCAGTGCTTCAAACCACCTCTTTTGTCCCTCCTAAAAAGAAGAAACAAGGCCCATGTGTCCCCTTTCGAAATTTCCCCTTCTTTTGCTACCTGCTGTTCCAGCATCAGGCTCTTCTCTGGTGAGTCCTTCCTTCTCGTTAGGTGGCCAAAGTATCTGAGCTTCATCTTCAGCATCTGGCCTTCTCAAGGGCAGTCAGGGTTGATCTCCTCTAGGACTGACCGGTTGGATCGCCTTGTGGTCCAAGGTACTCGCAGGCGTCTCCTCCAGCACCACAATTCAAAGGCCTCAATCCTTCGGCGCTCAACCTTCCTTATGGTCCAGCTTTCACAGCCATACATTGCAACTGGGAAAACCATAGCCTTGACTATACACATTTTTATTGGCAGGGTGATGCCTCTGCTTTTTAGTGTGCTGTCTAGATTTGCCATAGCTTTCCTCCCCAGGAGCAAGCGCCTTTTAATTTCTTGGCTGCAGTCCCCATCTGTGGTGCTCCTGGAGCCCAGGAAAATAAAATCTGCCACTATCTCCATTTTTCCCCCATCTATTTGCCAGGAAGTGAGAGGACCGCATGCCATGATCTTAGTTTTCTTAATGTTGAGTTTCAAGCCAACTTTTGCGCTCTCCTCCTTCACCCACATCAAGAGGCTCTTTAGTTCCTCTTCGCTTTCTGCCGTGAGAGTGGCATCATCTACATATCTGAGGTTGTTGATATTTTCCCCGGCAATCACCATCAGCAGCAGTCAAACTCCTGGATATTTGTCCAACACCCTTGGACAGCACTCTGTTGTGTGGAGGTAAATTCCTCAGTTTCCCTCTGTGCACAACACGGAGAAATTCCTTGGCTCTCTTCAGAATCTCCCACCGGGCTGCTCTCCCTGGATTTCTTTTTATGCAAAAGAAAAATCTCTCCTCTCCACTTGCTCAGGCATGGCATCATTTTGCATTCCTCTAAAACACACACACGCACACACATCAACCCCCCCCCAACTATTGCCTTTTCTCCAGGTACTCCAAGAATCTGAAAACACCCACTTCTGGCACTACAACTCCCATCATTCCTGGCCACTGTGTTAGCTGGGGCTGAGGGGAGCTGTAGCCCTACACGCTTCTGGTACTACAATTCCCATCATTCCTGGCCACTGTATTAGTGTGTAGTCCCACTCACCTAGAGGTATCAGCTTTCCTGCTTTAGTCTTGTTGGTGGAAACAACCGCGAGATAAACTCCTGCAAAAAACTTAAATAGAAGTAAAAACTAAATAATAATTAATTCTGTTTTTTGAACCGCATTAGTTCCCCGAGGGGAGGTGCACCGTTCCTGGAAGTACTGCAATACCAGGTCGATGCTTGGAGTGGATGGAGCAAGCCCCTATTCCATCTCCCAGTGCCAAAAATCCATTTAATATGTAGTCCTCAAATAGAGGACATATCAGATATTAAACTGATAAGAACAGATACTACACTTGATCTTAGCCAAAAGGCCGAGAAGCGATACGGCTGCTCTGCAGAAGCGGAGTAGACATCTATTCTGATGGTCTCGCAGTCACCGGGAGGAAGACGGCGCTCCTGCGCTCCCGGCGCCGCATCGCAAGACGCATCGTCTGCGAGTCCCGCACGATGCACGCGGACAACCTTCCTGCTTCGGCGGTCCAGGTTTGCGCCCTCCTGGCGGGCGGCAGAGGTGCAAAAAATGCCGATGTGCCCGGTCTTGACGGTTTTTGCGCTGCCTGCCTCCCTTTTGGCGGGTGGTTGGCGGGCGATTTGCATAGGCCCGCCCATTTTCCCGCCATGCCCCGCGTTTCTGCACGTCCCCTTCCCGGTGGGCTCGCAGATCGCGAAGGCAGGTTGGAAGAATTGCATGCTGCGTTGGGGGGGGCAATAGCGTCAAGGTTCAGGGCAGTGCTGGGTGCCAAAGTTAGGGGGCTCAGACCCATAGAAGGAGAAGCCTGTGTGTGCCAGCACTGGTTTAGTCTGCAAAAATCCCTGTATTTTGTCCTTAGGAGCCTGGCTCCTCAAGGCACCGATCTCTGCAAAAAAGCAGTGTATTGATGAAGGAGAAGGATGCTTGATTTGAGGGGAAAAGCGGCTGCGGGGCCCCATCATCCCTGCCGGCTGATGGGAGTTGGAGTCCAGGCCTGTTACTGTCGCCTTTCCTCACGCTGGCTACTGCTGGGGTGGGTTTGTGTGGCCACACGGGTCGTGATGCTTCCCGGCTTGACTCTCCCGCCAAGCCCAAGCCCAAGCCCTCCCCCAAGAACTGAAACACCCCCGCAGGCTGACATTTGGCACTTCTTTATTTAAAAATCGGCATAATATCAAAAATAAACTCTGCCAGAGAAAGCGAATGCCCCTTCCTCCCTCCACCCTGCCGTTCCACAAGCCCACGGAAGGTGCTCTGCCCAGGAAGGCCGGGGCCTCCGGCATCCATGGGCCTGCCCCATTGCAGCCTTCATTTTGAGCTTTGGGGAGCATTCCCTGTGCTTAGCTTCCTCCCCAGAACAGGACCACCACCATGGACTGCCCGGAGCAGCTCCCCGAAAGCTGAAAATAAAAGCTGCAAGGGAGGGGGTGCTCACCCCTTCAAGAGCCATCCATTTCCCTTACGTTATGCTTAAAAAATATAGACTTCAAGGCACTTCCATTCTCACTTCAAGCATTCTCCCTGAGAAAAATAGATCTGTTTAATCAACGGAGCTTTGAAACAAAACAACCCGAGGAAAGATTCCCTGTCCGTTTCTTTCCAGCGGAACTTTTCCCGGTATCTATGATCCACACAAAAAAGCAACACCCCCCGAATTCATCTAAAAAAATCATTTAAACTCATTTAAAAATGAAATTCAGTTCATTTCAAATGAATTCATTTAAAAATTCATTTAAAAATGGCCCATATCCAAGCCCCTGGAATAAAAAAAGCCCTGGAGAATATGCAGCCAGAGGTGGCATAGCCCTGGTTCCAGTGGGATCGCCTTTCCAAATTGCACAGGCACCGGAAGCGTGGCTGTATCGGCAGGCGAACGCCAGTGCCTTCCCACCAAATTTTTCCGCTTCCCCTCACCTCGCTCTGGCTCTTTAGCGCTTGCTCGATTTTTGCCAGGGAAGGGGCTCGCTAGCCTCTTTCGTGGGCTCCGGGCTCCCTCCCCAGGTTCCAGTCACGAAACTTCCAAGGGGGAGGCAGTGCCAGGTGCCCGATTTAAGTCTCCTGACAGTGTGGCCAGAGAAGGGCACGGCCAGGACGGTGAGGAGTCCGAAAGGCCAGGAGGGACAGAGGGGTACTCTGTATCCCGGAGAAGAGAAGATCAGGGAAGGGGAGGGCTTCTGCTCTCCGAAAAGTGGTTGAGGCATATGGACGGGAAGCGTTGTGCTCTGCCGTTAGGGAAGGGCAGGCCGAGGGGTTGAACCTCTGTCCCTTTTAATGCTTCAGCTTGCAGTTTGGGCCACAACCCCGGCATCCCCACGGCTGCAGGGAAGCAGGGTGGAGGAACACAGCTTGCAACGGATTTCTCCCTCCCTCCCTAGCCGAGACAATAAAAATTCCCTTCTTTTTCCTGTTACGAGTTCACATTTCTGCTGGCAGGACGGCGGGGGGGGGGGGGGAGCAGGCCTGTGGCTGCTGGGCTGCCACTCTCGCCGGCCCTTGCCGGCAAAGCCAATGGTGATGGCTGATGGGAATTGCAGTCCAGCATCTGGCGAGGCACACGGTCCCCCTCCCTGCGCCAAAGCACCCCAAAGCTGGGGTTCAGACAGCAGTATCAGCGAGCGAGTGTGGTCCCTTCCTGGCCCGTGTCCCTTCAAAAGATTGGAGTCGTTCAGAGCCGTGGTTCCAGGGCCGAGGGCCCTTCCTCCAGGGGGCCCGGCACCCCCTCATTTCTTGGCACACTCCCAGTGGTGGCTGAGCGGGAAAGCATAGGGAGAGGTCCAGTCCCGGAGGAAGACGTCCTCCAGCTGTTGGCGAAGGCTGCGTCCTGGGGCAGCCTCAGACTCTTTGATGACCAGCCCCACGCCAGTGGTGTTGACAAAATAATCTTCTGACCAGTTGGAGGTACCTGGAGAAGGTGAACGAGACATGGCAGGTGAAGGGCTTCCTTGCACTCCTGCTTGGAAGCACAGGTCTAAGACCTTCTTGTTGGCCAAGGCAGCCATTCCTGGTTTGGGGAACCAAGGAATTCCAGGGACAGGTGCAAAATGTGTTGCTGAAAATCCCGGGAATACACCGTTCCTGGGCTGTCGCGTGGGTTGTGAACCCAGAAACTCCAGGTTGCTTGGGGCTGGACAGCACAAAGTTAACCCAAATGTCAAAATGTGAAAAATAATTGAGTTAACTCCGAGTTGTTTGCTCCATAAACAACCCAGTGCTTTTCGTTTGCATATTTATTTCAAATATTTATACCCCGTCCTGTAAGCAAAGCATCTCAGAATGGCTTACAGAAATCAAAACAACTCATAGTCAAAACAACAATTAGCAATACTTAAGAATATACATGAAACCAACAGTAACTCACCAATGAAAACCAAACCAAGATACAAAACAAAACCATAATGTGACTGTAGATAGTTAAAACCAGGTTAAAAATTCCTAAACTTAACATGGTGGGCAAATAAAAAGGTTTTCACCTTTTTAAAAAGAAAATAAAGTCGGTGCCAGGCGAACCTTAGCGCACAGCAACAAGGCATTCCTGTGTTACTCAAAAGTAGATGTGAGGCGCTTGTCTGCAATTCCTGGCTTAAACAGGCCGAGAATTGCCACCGCGATGTGTGAACCAGGTCTAAGTGTAGCAAGCAACCCACCAGCCAAGTTCCGGGCATCCCGACGGGCTCTGTGGGTGGTGGGGAGAAGGGGAACGGGACAACACGGAGAAGGGGTACGTACCGATGTAGGCCACTCGGTCTGTTACCATGTATTTGTTGTGATTGACGTGGGCATACGGGATCGGGGGCTGCTCCCCCTCCGAGGGAACCACAAAGAGTTTCTGGAAAGAAAAAGAAAAAACCCACGTTGATTACTAAAACCAATCCAAAAATGGGTGTTGTGCCGCTTTCCCTAATCTGGCAGCCTCCAGATTTGTTGGATTGCAATTCCCATCGCTCCTGAATTGGAGTGCAGCAAAGCTGGAGTGTGCCAAGTTGTGTTAGAGAGCCAAGTGCCTGTGTTCAAGTTTGCACGCTGCCCTGGTGAGTCTTGGGCGAGTCACCTTCATTCTCTCTCTCCCTGTCCTACCTTGCAGGGTTGTTGTGAAGATAAATGGGCCAGGGCAAACTGTACATTGCCCTCAGTTCTTTGGAGGATGTGGAATTTGTAAAAAATGTTAGAAATAATAACTACAAGTTCTTTTCTTGTAGTGGCTGCTTAATATTTATGGAACTTTCTGGACGTTTGCAGAGCAGCTGGCCCTGATTTTTGCGATCCTTCTAGCAACCCTGTAAGGTCGGCCCGTTCTCTGTGTTGCAAGAAAGGAGACAGCCATGGCTGCAAGAGAACCAGCGTGAAGATTCGACCTCTCGCCCCCTTGATTCAGAAGATGTCACGGCTGTTGGTCACTGCCGATCAAGTTTTAAAGATCTGGCATTGAGCAAACGGACCTGCCTCTACCACGCGGTATACTCCGAGTGGCACCAGCTCTGCAGGGCTTCGGACCGCACCAGCCCTCGCTGGACCCACCAGGGCCTGATCCTGAGACACTGACATCCACTGCCAGGCTGGACCCTGAGCCACGGCCCCTTCTGCCCACCCCACTGATCCAGCTCTGCTCCTCAGCCAACGGCGAGCAGCTTCTGCTCGTTCCCCAGCTCCAGGACTCACCACTTCAATGGGGCAACGCAGCGGCTCGTGGCTGAGGACGCGCAGCGACTCCAGGAAGACAAACATGGCCGGCTTGGAGTGCTGCCAACAGCTGACGAGGAGACGCACGTTCGCCCGGCGCTCACAGGCCGCAGTGCGCAAGGCGTCGTCGATGACGGGCCAAAACCTAGGAGGACAGTTGGTATTACAGACAGAAGGAGGAGTCCCTCGTCCCCGTCTTCAGCTGTCCACTGTTGGAGGCAGGATACTAGGCCAGACGGAACAGCGGTCCGGTCCACGTGGTCTTGAGCATCTGTCAAGCGCCAGGTGAGAGCATGGGATAGAGCGATGCTTGTGATGGGCTTTAATTAGGGAAAGCGTCATAGGTAGCCGCTCTGAGGGGGAAAGGGTTTTTCATTCAGCCACTGCATCAGCCTCGAGGCCTATCCTCAAATTGTGGAAAAGAGGCTGACGCTGTATTCCAGTGCACATTTAGACAGGAAAAAGACTGGGAGCTTCGGACACCATTTGCCCGTCTAATGACACATTGCTTGTGCCCTTATTACAAAGCAAAGGGGAGCGGGGAGTGTTACATGTTTGACCTTCTGTCACCCTCAGAATATGCATTTCCTTGAATTAGGAAAAATCAAGCAATCAAATCAATCTATGTTATGAATTGAATTTGGCAATTTAAAATGGATGCAATCTTTCAGTGAATGAGGGAAAGATTCTTGACGCTTTTCTGCCCGCGTTTGGTCTGGTCCCACGTGCGCGTATTTTTAAGTGCAATTTCGATCGGCAATTCCGTCGGCAAGATCGGCATCGAGTGCGCGAAAAGGTGGAAGACAGACACGAGAAACAGAACCTGCTCCCCACCTTCTGGGTTTGCAGAACGAACACTGAGGCTCGTAATCCATCACGGCAATGTAGACGAAGTCTTCCGCATCGTCGATGGTGTTCAGGATGGCGGAGAGGTCTGGTGTCCGTCCTTGGGAGCACAGGGCTGGCGGGGAGCTCTGCAGCCATGAAAAGTTTAAGATGGCCTGTGCTGATCCAGGATTCCCCCAAAGGCCCAACCTAGGATTTCCCCCAAAGGCCCAACCCTCTTCCATTTGGTAGTTTTCTGACTTTTGGGTACTCTTCCCCTGTCCAAACAAGCTAAAATGCATCTTGTAAGGCTGAGTTTCCCTTCCTTTCCCTTCCTATCCTGCCCTGTAAACCCTCTGGGCAGTTTAAAAGAGGGAAGCCGTCCCGAGACATTCTGTAGGGGACGGGATAGAAAAGCTGCTGATAAATAAATAAAAGATAAAAATCCTTAAAAATACTAGACTGTACATAATAGACAGAGCTAGGCAGACACTTACGATAACGAAAAATCCCCAAGCTGGGTTAAAAACCAAAAAGGGTATATTTGATAAGGCTACATCAAAACTTTTTATTTTCCCAATGTTTTAAGACTTGGTTGTTTTAATTAGGGGTTTTATTGTTTGGACATTTTATTAGGATGCTGTGTTTTATTTTGTACTGTCTCATTGTTAAACCATCTTGAGACCACGATAAGGGACGGTCTAGAAAAGTTTTAAATAAACAAATAAAACTTGCAATCATTTTAATGTAGAATATTATAGCATTGCTTAGCATCTTGGGGTTTTGTCTTTGGCCAAACCCAGCTGCTCCAAAGTGGAATTCAGCTCTTAGTTGAAAGAGGGTCTCCACACTTGCTTTAAAGACAAGAGCTGCCTGTTGGCTGCTCTACCAAAACAGATCCACACAAGGTCCTAGTCCTCACCGTCCCTAATGAGACAGACCTCTCCCAGACCCTGGGGAAGGAGGGCTTGTGAGCAGAGGCAGCGAGACTTACAGAAAGATACAGCTCCGCACTGGTGCCGTTGAGTTGCAGCTTCAACGGGTGGCTCACGCTGGACTGGGCAGCAAGCCCCACAGGCCACACCGCCGGGATGGCAGCGCCCTCCTTGCCCAGGATGCGGTAGATGGCAAAGATGCGGTGTAAGTCCCGAGCCACGCAGCTGCAGTTGTAGAGGACGGCGCCCAGCTCCTTCACCTGCAACGAAAAATCCCATGAGAGGGACCCCCCCGCGCGATGCCCGGTGCATCCTCTGTATGGGCCCTCCCTGCTCAGGCAGCCTGACCTCCCCAGCCGTGGGCCTTCTGTGAGCGATGGATCCAGCTGGGAGCGGCAACGGGAGGTTGCAGCGTGTCCCTAGCATGGCCAAAGGCCCAGGGAGGAAGGAGGGGTTGAAAGCACGGACGGGGAAGCGGCGGCCTGTGGAACCTCCTCCTCAGCTTCCGTGGAGCTGGATCCCTCCCTGGGGACGGTGCCAGGACCACCCTGTCTCGGGGGGCTATGAGGGGCTTGGGAAGAGGAATCGCCTTCCTCACTGGAAATAGCAGCCAGGTCTTCCTCACAGGAACCGAGCAGGGAGGACGCAACACGGGGCTCCGAACAGGAAGGAGGTTCCCACTTGCCCACCGGCTTCCCCGGCTCATGCGAGCGGCAAGGAGGACGCCCGGCAGGTGCCGCTGCCCATCGGCCTCTCCTGAGCCACCCGCCCAGCGAGCCAGCGGGGCAAGACCTGCCGGTGGCCCTGGGAGGTGCGCGGAGAGACAGGGAGCCAGGGAGGGGGTATTTCCCAGAGCCCCCCGGAGCTGGCACTGGCGAGGCCCCGTGCCAAACTGGCCCGCTCGGTGTGCCCCCGTCCCCGGGCAGTACCTGCGTGAGGGAGCGCCAGTCCATGTTGGCGCTGCCGAGGTAGACGTGCCGCTGGTCCACCACCCACAGCTTGGTGTGCACGATGCCGCCCGTCAGGCGCCTCATGTCCACGTGCCGCACGTCCGCCCCTGCAGAGGAGGAGGAGGAGGAGGGGAAGGCTGGAGGGAGCTGGGGGCAGCCCTGGCAAGTCGCGCGCCCGCCGGCCGCAGCCCCAGCGCTCGTGCCGCACTGGTTGGGGCGGCGCAGCATTTTTTTTTTTATTTTTTATTTTTCGATTTATATCCTGCCTTTTTCCTACAAAGGGCTCAAGGCAGCTTGCATCTCCTCCTCCATCTTATCCGCACAACAGCGACCCTGTGAGGTAGGTTGGGCTGAGAGGCTGTGACTGGCCCATGGCTGAGCGGGGACTCGAACCCGGATCGCCTGAGTCCCAGTCCCAGGCTCTTCACCACGACGCCACACTGGCTCTCACTCTCATTTGGCTGAGCCTTCCAGCAAAGCTGTCACTGGAGCTGGCCACGCCGTGCCCAACCGCCTGGGCAAAGCCGTGCCTGATGCCCCCCACATAAGAGAGGGTCCGCCCCACACCGGTGGGCCGGGCTGGCCGCGGCCCTCCAAGGTTCTGGCCAGAGCGCTTTCTAACGATGCCTAAAGATGCCCGTGACCCAGGCAGAGACTATTCGCAAGTAGTGGATGCAGATTCTCACGGAGCTATGGTCCCCCTCTAAAACTAAACTAAGTTTCCAGTCCTCAGCATTTGCAGCAATGGGCTGATCTAGATAGGAACCTGAATAGCTGCCTTGACCGGCAGTGCTTCTCTCTCCAAGGTTCCCGGGAAAGGCTCTTTCCTAGGTATACTTCTGCATGCTGAGCCGGTGATCTTCTACCAAGACGCGGCCTCTCCCCTTACATTATTGTCAAATGTCGTGATTTTAGATTGTTACTCTTATATTATTATTGCTGTCTGTATTGCAGACGGCCACCACCGGGCTTCCCATCTAATCCATAAACAAGCCCTATTTGGCAGAGGCGAAATTGAGGATCAAGGGAGAGCAGCGATGCTGAGCAACTTGACGGCAGAGGTGAGATTCGAACCAAAGGGTTTTTGGTGCGTGGTTTTAGCTGTTCTGCTACACCAGCTCAAAAGCATATGATGGTAGTTTGGGCTCAGAGTCAGTGTCCTGTTGGGTTGTGCTGATTCTGCAGTTCTACACTCGGCCTGGTAACAGAATTCAGCAAGCTGCTGGTCCTCATGCTTGCCTGGGTATTTTTCCCTCCCTCTCTCATGACACCGGAACTTGAGAGACATTGTCACCCAGTAAAACTCACTGGCTAGAGATTCAGAAGGTTATTCTTTCAAAATGCGAATTACTTTTTGTGAACTTGGCTCCGGCAGGCACCAATGTAGCTGACTTAAAAGGAGCTATTACCTGAGTAACTTGTGAGTGACATAAATTGTATGTCCACAGAATTCTTTGCGACCCACAGAGAGGGTGCCATGCTTCGGCAGACATACAGGCAGATCGATGTGGAACACCTTCCACGCCATTTCGAATTCACCCACTCCAGAAAACATACCATGTTGGGCCAATTCGGCCGTGTCGTTCTCGGACATCTGGGGGCTGTTCACAGCAATGTTGAGCATCACCCCACGAGAAGGCAGGTCCCGCAGCGACTCGAAAATTGCCTTTCCCTGCAGAGCAACCATGCAGTGAATCGATTCCTGAGCAGAACTCCAAAATTTGCACCAGTTCTCGGGGAACATGCCCAACCAAACCAGTGATGAAACTCAAAGATGAAAATCTTTGTTTAAATTCGAAAAGCGGCAGCCATTCCAAATGATTGATCAAAATGAGATGAACAGCCTTGGAAAGCCAGTACCAAAATGAGGAATGTAATGCATCATTCAACATAAGTGGCAGCAAAATAATATTTTTAGGCCCTCTTACCATTAAGACTTGTTAAATTTTTATATTTAGGGGTATTTTTAACCCATCCTTTACTTTATGTCTCTTTATAGCACCTAGTAGTTGAAGCTCTGAGAAACCCAAAATCCACATAACTGTGAAAGGAAGGCTTCAGTGAAGCCATAAACAACAGTGGAAAACATATATAATCCTACTATAGTGAGCTATCCTATGTTTCTACTCAACTCATAATTCTTAAATTTGCATTTATTTTGTAGCTATTACATGACATTAATACCCTGATTTTTTTTCCAAATCTTGCAAGGAAGCTTAGATGGTTTACAAGGTTATCCTTACAACAGCCCTGTGAGGTAGACCAGGCTGAGAGGCAGTGACTGGCCAAAAATACCCAGTGAGCTGACTAGAACCCAAGTTCCCAAGTCTCAATCCAACGTTTCATCCATTCTAATATGCATTCCCATTTGTAAATAGGATGTAAATAGATGTCCTTTTGCAGGGGGATGATGCCTTTTGCTTTTTCTGGTGCACCCCCTGCCATGAAATGAAATGAAATTAATTTAATAATAAAATAATTTAAATGAAATAAAATGAATCATAATAAAAAGCAGAGACATCACCCTGCCAACAAAAGTGCGTATAGTTAAGGCGATGGTTTTCCCAGTTGCAATGTACGGCTGTGAAAGTTGGACCATAAACATAGAAACAGAGTGAGTCAGAAGGGGTCTCCCGGGCCATCTAGTCTGACCCCTGGCTCCAGCTGGCTCTGCTCACGACATGCCCACTATGGGCATGTCTAGCCTATCCTTGAACACCCTCACCGATGGGGCCTCAACCACCTCCTGTGGAAGCCCATTCCACACCCTCGGGGTCCTGACTGTCAGGAAGGACTTCTTGGCATCCAAATTGAACCTTGGTTCCTTGAGGTTGGCTCTGTTGGAAGGAAGACTGAGCTCCGAAGAACTGAGGCCTTTGAATTGTGCTGGAGAAGACTCCTGCGAGTCCCTTGGACCGCAAGGCGATCCAACCGGTCAGTCCTAGAGGAGATCAACCCCGACGGCTCTTCAGAAGGCCAGATCCTGAAGATGAAACTCAAATACTTTGGCCACCGAATGAGAAGGAAGGACTCCCTGGAGAAGAGCCTGATGCTGGGAACAATAGATGGCAAAAGAAGAAGGGGATGGCAGAGGTTGAGGTGGCTGGATGGAGTCATTGAAGCAGACTGTGTGAGCTTAGCTGGACTCCAGGGGAAGGTGGAGGACAGGAAGGCCTGGAGGAATGTTGTCCATGGGGTTGTGATGGGTCGGACACGACTTAGCAACGAACAACAACAGAATGAACCATGGGGCCCAAACGAGCCACCGACCTGCCACGAGGAAGGATCCTGTACATGCACATCTGAATCTCGGAGGGTAAAGTAGAAAGCCGCGATCTCCACACTGCTATTGGCTCTGGCCAGAAGGTCCATCCAGGCCTGGTAGGTGGTTGGATTGTGAGGTTTCAGGGACTGGTACTTCAGAGTGTCTGGGATGCTTTCCACGAGCACCAAGCTATGGGCAAAGGAGAGAGAAGTCGGGGAGAGTCTCAGGTTAGGTGAAAAAAGGGGGGTTTCTCCAACCTCGGGCCCTCTTCCATTGGAGCTGCTTTCTTGGATGCTGAAAACCTGCAGGGACCTGTCAGCAGGAAACGGCGCTTCCATACATCAGACAATGGCCGTTACAAGTACGTGTGCATCGCTTCCCAGTGCAAAAAGCAGTCCCAGAGAGACTTGCACCAACAATACAGAAACCATGATTAAAATCATGGCAATAGGGCAGGCCAGGAGTCCAGTAAATAAAACAGCAGTGGGGAAACCCTGATATCAGAATAAACACTTTGATCAGCCAAAACAGGCCATAAAAACACAGTCTAAAAATCACACAAGGAGGAAACAGAGAAACAGGGCGAGTCAGAAGGGCCTCCGAAACAGTCCGCAGCCCTTACCTGCATTGCGAGCTGCACTCTTCCGTCCTACTCCACAGCTTTGGAAAGCCACTCCAGGTCAGCTGTCCATACCCCATTATCCCCAGCAAAGATGAAGGGCTTCCGTGTTCCCAAACGAGCCAGCAGCCAAGGCCCAGGATAAGCAAGACGAGCAGAGAGCCGAGCGTGGAACGAGACCGGAGAGGCTTTAAGGACATGCGGGGAGGAGAAGAGAGGGATCAGTGGATTCTTCTCCCAAGAGGGGGTCTCCGGAGCCCAGGATCTGCAGCCTTTCTCTCCATGGGCAGCGCTGGGGCTGTGGGCAGCGATGCCATCGGGGGGTGGGGGTCCTGCTGGCTTGCACACCCTCGGCAAAAGCGCGGCCCCGTCCACCTTTGATTCACCCTGCAGTGCCCGCCCTATGATGCCGTGCGTCGTAACTGCCCCCTTTGTCTGGGAGACGGCTCAGTAGTTTCACCTCCTGCCCCTAAGAAAAGGGGGCTGTGTGGGTCAGCAGCCCACTGGCATTCTCCCAATTTACCCTGCTCCACGCTTTGGTGTTTTCTGCGGGCAGCGCTGTGCTCTGCCCCGCGGAAGGTCTGGCCTTCTCGGCCGGCCTCTTGAACTCGGCGCTCATTGTCGGCCTGGCCTGCCACCTGGGGCCTTTGCTGTCCATCTCGCCGTGCAGGGTTGGCGTTGGCTTGTCTTCCGGAGGCACCGGCTTGCCTCCTCGGAGCCTCCGCGCTTCCAGTACCTGCAGCCGTGCCCTTTCGTCTTTCACCACTTCCCAGTCAATGTTTGGTTTCTGCAGCTGAAGAAACAGGGAGGAGACAGCATTGCGGCAGGTGCCTCTTGGTTTAACAAGCCAAGATATAAATGAACTTCTTGGCCTGCAAACATAACCCTCGGGGTGAGCAAAACAGACCAACCCAAAAGTCTTCTGTCAACTAGAATGTCAGTTTCTCAGTTTGCAAACTGTTTCCAAACTGGGAAACTACAAATAACAGATTTGGAACAAGCCAGGATAATCAGACCGTGGCTTGAACCGTGGCTTCATCCTGGCTTCTGAAACTTGCTAACCATTGTTTCCCAGTGCAGGTGGGAACTGTGTTTAATTGGAGACTTTCTGGCTTCTTTGCTCCTGCTGTGAAGGAAGGAGGCGAAGGGGACGTGTGGGTCGCCAGCATGCTTGTCCAGGTGGGCAACGTGTCGCCCCTGGGACTTCTGCCCTACAACACCCGGAATCCTGATCCATTGGCTGTGCTGGCTAGAGCGGATGGGAGTTTATACCTCAGTTTATTAAACCAAGGTGTGGTTGTCTAAATTCCCCTGGTGTGAACCAAACAGCAGTTCCTGTGCAACCCAAGCCAAAGCATTCCCAGGGCCGAAATGCTGGAAAAGCGGGATGCTCTGGGAATAGACAGCAGCCGTTCCCACCTGCCGGCCTGCCTCCCATGTTCGAAACAGTCCCTAGAAACCTTGCATTAATATTTTTCCAGGCACCAGGCCCCCCGGTCCTTCCACAGGCAACTCCCAGCATTTGGCTCATCCCGAAAGAACATGTCGCCTGGCTGAATTCCTTTATCTTGAGGGGATATTAACCGTCTGCCTTTCGATTTATAAGCGAGTTGGCAAAGCAGATGCTGGGCCGCCGGTAAAGAAATGGGAGACGTGTTGAGGGTCATCTCGGAAAAGACCCCTCTTCTTCGCCATCGCCTCCCCCCTCCGTTACCTCCTTTGCCCTGTTTTGCTGTGGGGGAGGCCCATCTTCCTGAGAAGCAGCCAGTCGTCTCAGCCTGACAAAAGGGAACTGCAAAGGAAAAGGGACACGGGCGTCATTGTCGCCGCTTAACCCCCTTCGGCCAACACCTGGTTGCTCTTTGCTCGTCTTTGTTCAACGCCCCAGGCCCGTGCATCTCCGCGGACCAACGGGCATAAGCAAATCATTCTTCACTTTTGGTTTGGGTGGCGCAGTTCCCCTTTTTTGGCAGTTCTTTCCTTCCCCCTCGCCCTGCCTCCCGTTCAGTGCGCTAAAGCAGAAAGAGCCAGGAAGCATTTAAGCACTGTTCCTGAAGGTTTGCTTTCTCCCTTAATTTGAAAGGTGGGGGGAGGTTTGGACCAAGCCCCGTGCCCCGATGCCTTCTCCCTAGCAGCTCTGGATCAGCTGGGAAAAACCCAAACCCAGTCTCACCAGCGTCGTGTCTTGTTCCAACACGGGCTGCCCACTTTCTGTCTGAGGTCGTGGTTCTGAGAGTGCCAAGGGACCCCTGGCTGGACTGGGTGGACTGGGCGAGCGGTCCCTGGCTGCCTCCACCCGGTTCCGGTATGCTCTGATGCTCTCCCGGGGCTGAAGAACATCCCTGGAGAGACTTCCTCCTGCGCCTTGTGGTTTCTCTGAGCTTGTCATTCCCTGCAAACGACAATTGCGTAGAGACGCATCAAAGGCATGGTGGCATCGCTGCCTCGGCTCCCTTTTCATGCTTCTCCTTTCGCTATTGCGTGCGAAAAGCCTCCGGCTGCTCTTGAGTTTATTCCCAAGGTCACACGGCTTGTGTTGGGGCTTGTATTGTGTTGGGGTCAAACAGCTGTCCCGGGTCACAGGCTTCCCCGGTACAGAATTCCAGGTGCAAAAAGATCCAGAACTGCCAGGACAAAAGTGCCCATGGACAAGAAACATAGAAACAGAGCGAGTCAGAAGGGGTCTCCCAGGCCATCTAGTCTGACCCCCGGCTCCGCTCACAACATGCCCACCATGTGAGAGAGTGATGGGGGGTTCCAGAGGAAAAAGTCAGGGCTTTAGCCCCAATGGACTGCCCCCTAAGGGAATGCTTTTTCATTTTCCTTTTGAGTCCGCCTCAGCTCTACACCCTCCTATAACTGAAGCCCTCCGGACGGTTCACAGCCACTCAAAACATGCAATTACAACATGATAAACTACGACAAACATTTAAACATACAACAAAACATCAAAAATATACATCAAAACTTTATACTTCTTTCCTTATTTGCCCTACTGAAAAGGTGTGCTAGAATAGGAGTGGGCAGAAGGTAGATCTCTGAAAGTTTTGAATTTCACCTCCCAGAAGCTGCTGCCAGAGCAGTCTGTTTTCTGTGCTGGGTGTTTTATGGCTGCCAGATCATTGCCCAAAGCTGCCAACGCAGCCCAGTTCACGAGATTGTAAAAATCTAGGTCTTTGTGATACAACAACTTGATAGAAAACCAAACTTGCTATAACATGAGGCGGGGAGGGTAAAATAACCTAGAAACAGAAGAATCAGTCCAGGAGTCCCTGTAGCTTGGCATTGCATTGCATGGAGTCACAAGTTCCAACAACCCACATTTAAATTTGCTGTGTTGTGTGAACTCAGCTACGTGAACAGAACCGTGGTGGGGTTGAGGTTTGAGCACGAGTTAGTGTTGGACGGGGACACAGGAGATCCAAATTCTGGCTTCCACTTGGCCATGAAGCGCACTGGGGGACTTTGAGCCAGGCACTGACTCTTACCCTACCCTACCGCACAGGGTTGTTGTGAGGATAAGATGGAGAGGAGGGGGAAGAAGATTACAGAAGCTGTCCGGAGTTCCTTGAAGGGGAAAAAGCAAGATTACAAATGGAATAAATATGCCACAGAGTTGAGGAAATGCTTGCTGTAAAAATATTGCCGACTACGACATTCATCTGCCGAGCAGCACCAGCAGTGGTCAGGGTGGATGGGAGGTGTAGTCCTCCCTTCCCTCGATGTCTCCAGGTTCCCCATCTTGGGGGGGAGGTGCTCATCCAGGAACAGCCTCCCTGGCAGAAATGTTTTGGGGAAGCATAAAGTGAAAAAGTCACCCTGTCTTTGCAGAGGAAGCCCGTGGTGGCCTGTCAGCAGCTCCACCGCCTGCGTTGGCAGGATGCGAGCGAGGGGGCGGTTCTCGTGGCCGTTATTCGGATGGTGCCGTGAGCACCAGCCCTCCTCTCTTGGGAGTTTCCTTTCTGAGACAGGCCATGCAGATGTTCTCGGAGTGACAGCGAGATATGAGCAGCAAGCCGCCTTCGAAGCCGCTCGGCGCGACTTCCTGAGAAGGGCGCACAGAAAACCGCCCTCTCCCGCCTCGGGCCGCCAGCCCATCCAGCCTGGCTTCTCAGCTCCAGAGGGTCTCTCTGCCACCTGCTTCCCAGTGGTCTTTCCCATCAAGGGGGCCGCGGATTGGGCTGGGGAGCCCCCCGGGCAGGGCAGGTGCCGGCCACTGATCCACGGCCCTCCAAAAATACAATGTGCAAAAGAACACCTGCCGGCCCACTCATGCTCATTGGCGCGATGTCCAGAATCCCACTGAGGCGTCCCATTTCTCCATGCGCGTATCAAGTCTTAAGGTAGGGACAGGAAACATACAGCCTTCAAGCTGGTGTTGGACTGCAGCTCCCATCATCCCCGACCAGTGGCTCTGCAGGCTCAGGCTGATGGGGATCACAGGTTCCTCACCCCAGCTCTGAGAGCATGTAACACTCCTGCTGTGCATCTGTCATTCTCTTTGGGGTCAGAAGAATGGGGGCTGGCTGTCTTTATCGCTTATATTTATATCCTAGCTTTCCTCCAAGGGCCTGGGCAGTATACGTGTTTCTCCTCCTCACCACGTCATCCTCACAACAGCCTTGTGAGGTAGGCTTGGGTGAAAGTCGGGGATTGGCCCAAGGTCAGCCAGTGAGCTTGAGTGAACTAGAACCCGTGGCCCACACGAACGCCCCAGACCTCTTGTTTGCCCTTCTCATTTAAATAAAATGGAGTATTTAGTCCTTTTACCCAATAGAAGGAAAACTAGAATTTAAACCAATTGCTCTGTTAAGCGTCAAAGTATTTCCACCTTTCATGTATTCTGCCGTTTGGTTGCAAAGGCACTGGGAGAACATGGCAATCCAGGTTCAATAAGATTCAACAGGACTGAAATTAAGATGGTTACACTGAACATATTCGATTTACCTGCCCTGTCTTTGACTCACACGCATGTGTTTTTAGATCCTTGACCACACCAACATTTCAAACTATCGGACTGGTTCCTTTGCTCATCCACATCCCGCCAGGTATCTGAGGCAGCAGAACTGACCTTCTGATTTGGAAAGTGGCATTTAGCCAAGGTCTGTGCCCCCCCCCCCAGCCTCCATTTAATTGAAAATTTAAAAAAGGTGCAAGAAAGAGTATCTTTGCTCTTGGTTCAGAAGGGGAAAAGTTGAGCTGAGGAGCTGTCCAGCTGACTCCAAAAAGCAGTATTTTTATCAGTGGCAGCCCAATAAATCCATCTGGCCCAGCATGATGTAACAGGCTTTCTGACCGCAGTGGGGCATTCTCAGTCCAGCTACTAGATAGCCATCTAGCAGGAGAGACCATGCATCAAACCTCGGGCTGTTTGACCTACAAAAATCTGCGCCCAGTGACTTACAAAACTTCTGCCTACCATCCGGCCATGGATCCGTGAGCCCGGTCGGAACACGAGCAGAGTTCTCGGGAAGCCTGCCTTCCCCAACTCCCAGCTGCTTTGGACTTCACCTCCCATCATCCCTGCACTGAATATGTGGCTTGCAGCGGATGTATTTGTGCATGACTTCTCGCAGCCAAGGGTGTCCGGACAGCTCACAGAAAAACTACAGGCAGGAGAACGCGACGCAATCAAAGACTTTATTCCAAGCTTCCTGCTGCTGAAGCGGAATAACATCCAGGGAAAGCCTGCGGCAGTCCTAAAAGCATGGGAAGAACGGGCTGGTGGACCGATGCAGCTGGAAGCATCCGGAGAACGGAAGGGTGCCAAGCTTGAGGAGGCAGCTCCGGGACATCAGGTGGTGCTGATGCGTTATTTTGTCACTGATGTCAGGCCTTTCAGGACGGAGCTGGTGGGGACCCAGCCCAGGGCTTCCTGCATCCTGTTCCCGAGCCGCAGCCGCCCCTTGCCACACTTCCCCTCTCTCACCTGTGCCCCAACTTTCTCCTGCTGCAGGCGACTGGATCTCCGCAGAGGGGTTTCCCTCGAGCCCGGACGCTTGGGTTCTTTCTTCCTCATGTGGCTTTGGGGGACGGACGGACGGACGGACCTGCGGGGCTCCGCAGCGCCAGCTTAGCGCTCCTTCCGCTCTACCCCAGAAGAGGCTGCGCAAAGGCACAGGCGATCTGTCAAGGGACTCTGTGGCGAGTCACAAAAACGTTAGCGATTCAAAAACAACCCACGGGATGGATTTCAAATGGTAGGCAGCAATTGGCTGGCGGGTTGTTTATACACAGACTTTGCTCCGTTCGGGGTGACTCCTAGCGGCAGCTGCTGAAAGGAGGCGGAACATATGCGCTGCGCATGGACGCAAGCGAGCGAGTGCAAGACGCAGTGATCCAGTTTGGGAAAGACCCTCCTGCTGGAATGTACCTGATCCTGCCTGATTTTGGAAGCTTAAAGCAGGGTCAGGCCTGGTTGGAATCGGGATGGGAGACCCAGAGTCCTGCACCGAGCAGGTTGGACCCGATGGCTAGCCAGCCCCTTCCATCCAGTTGATTCTTTGAACTTGCCATCACAGAATCAAAGGATACCACAGAATACCACCTCTTGGGGGTACCCAAAGGAAAGGACTCCGGGGCAGATGTCTGGGCCCACGTGGCAGGATTGGGGGGCCGGCCTGGAATTCAGCAAGGCTGGTTTCTTCAGCGGAATGAAGCATGTTGCCCTTCAAAGAGCCTCACCTTTGTGATAAGACCATTCGGTTTCAAAGGATCTGAGTCATCGGTGGGGCACCAAGCAGACACGATCCTTTGCCCAGGTTTTCCCGTATAAGTTATGAACTGGTTGTCGTGATCGACGAGTTTGTTCATTCTAGGATGTGAGGAACAGGTGGAATTCTGCCAATTGTGGGACACACGTTTCGCATTGTAGTGTTTTATGGTGGGGGTTGACTGTGCTGATGGTGGCTCGATCTGGAGGGTTTTCTGTCCTTTTCATTATGGATTTCTTTATTATTTACTTGGGTGAGTTGTTTTAAGACTGCTTTTCGCACTGGGAAGGTCAGGAAACTATTCTCAACCTGCTTTGAATTATAACATTGAGCTGAGTTTGGGCTTGTGAATGTTTTGAATTGCTGCTGGTTTTAGATTGGGTTTTGCCCTTATTCAAGCTAAGTTATAGACGTGTGGTGTTTAATTCTGATACATTTTAAACAGTTGCTTCAGCAATGTGAGGAATAGAAGAAACTGGAGTTTATATTTTTATTTGTAAGTTGCCTCTGCCCTAAAAGTTAACCTGCACATATTTAGAATTAAATAATTACAATTATCTTATGCAGTCTGTTAACCCTGGGTTGAACATAGCAAACTCAGGAGAATTAATATATCTAGCTAGAGCAGCCATATGAAAAGAATAGATGTCCAGGTTCATTTGTGGAGAACCATCTTTTTCTCTCTGGCTCTACCAGGCCCTCACAAATGGATGAGAATGTAAAACGGGGTCAGGGCTGTACCACTTCAGATTGCAAATAGGAAATCAATGGGATAGAATGACACTTTGCACAAAAAAATCCCCCAAAGTAGCATTGCATGTCTAGCCGTCTCCATGAATCATTCAAAGATTCAGTTTGAATGAGGCAAATTGGACATATACGTTTCCTCATGCACAAGAAAATGCTGTAGCAGTAGTGTGCTTTGATAAACATCCTAAATATGCTTAATGCTACATTTTTGCTTCTCCAAATAAACAAGCAAGCATTAGTATCAGTATTTTTAAAAAATCTTTTACCTGATCATTATGCTCACTGGAATGTTAAATTGGTTGGCTTCCTTTTTTTCTTTTTTATTATTACTCCAAAATGCAGTGCACCCAGTCTATAAACTTTATACATTGCAATTCTGTTACATATTTTGAAAAAATCATACAATGAAAAAATATTTAAAAGTTTGTATAAAATGATATATATACATAAATTGTTTCCATTTTTTGAAACAGATACAAGGTAAAAATGAACCACCTTATTAGCAAGAAGGTGCTTTGTGTCTTTTAAATTGTAAGCCTGATGGGCAGAATTAATAGCATTAAAAGTTTTTTTTAATAATAGCAATCATATTAATGCTAAATAACCAAAGCAATAATACTCAATAATGATTAAAAAAAATAGGGATTTTTGCTTCTCCTCTCCTGAATGTTGTTGGACAGTGAGGAATTATATTATCTGCATATATTTGCATGAATTATTTGCATCAGCAGCAATTCCTTTCTTCTATTTCTTTGCCTTTTGCTCTTGTTTGCACCAGCCTACACCACCTGGGTAACCATGGAAACCAAAGTTCCGCCTCTCTTCTGGGACCGTTCTACCAATCACGGCTAAGGGCAAGAGGCGAAATAACCACTTAGATTCAAGAATGTCGCTCATGTACGGCTCGTCCAATCACAAGCCACGGAATGCTTTGCGTTGACCATGATTGATGGAGCTGGGTCGGACCAATGGGGAGAAAGAGCGGGCGGAGTAAGACCCACCTGCCTACGCCTCCAAGTTGAGCCAAGGTTGGCCGAGAGCGACAGATGGGCGAGACAGAGCCCCAATAAGCGCGGCGGGAGAGGCGGGCCTTAAAAGAACCACTCAGGAAGAGAGGAGGCCAGAGAGTGACAGCTGAAGCTCCGCGAAGCCCGGCCTTCTGAGAGAGTGACAGGGTCGGACGGCCAATCAGACAGGAGGGGGCGGGTCCCTCGAGGCCTCTGCTTTGTGGTGGGTAAGTGGGGGAAAGAAGGGGCTCCTCCAGCACCCAACGCACCCCCTGTTGGGGGGGAGGAAGAAGGGCGCTTTCCGCTGGAGACCTACTTATCCTATACTATGGGGGGGCACGCGCCCCCGCCCCCAGGAGGGCGGGGCTTGTGAAAGGGAGGGGTCAGGTGGGGTCTGGGTGGGGGAGGGGAGGGGTCACTTTGGGGGTCCTGGAGATGTATTTTGGGGGCCACGGGAAAATGTGCTGTGGGCTGTGGGGGCAGCCCCCCCCAGCTCAGGAGAATAAGGGGTGGGGGTCCTTCAGGTTTTATGGGAGTGGGAGAGCAAAAAAATGTTGCGAGCAAGTGAGACAATGAAGAATTATTACAAATTGTATATATACATACACACACACATATATATATATGGGGGGATTAACTCTTAGGGGAAGATACAGGGGCACAGCTGAAGTGGGGCTCAGGGTGGGTGGGGTTGGATCTTGAGTGTGGCTTCCAAAAGGAAATGGCCTGGAAGTGGGCACACTGTTGCCAGTCCAGAGAAAAAGATCGAAATTAATCTTGCATCAAGATCCTCAGACAGACACACCGATTGCTCTTGCCTGGGATGACCATGACGGGGGTTCGTTTTAGACCTGCTTACCGATTGGGCAATTAAACGGGGGAAGTTCAGCAAGGGAAGGGAATTGCAGTGGGTGCTGGCAACCAACATGGCTACCCGGCTGAGGGGGGTGATGGGATACAGTCCCAGGACGATGGGGGGCAGCTATGGAGGACCTCAGTGAGCCAGCCCACCAGCCCTTGTCACATGCTGGCTGAGGAGGGCTGGTGGTCTTCCAGAAGACAGACGCCTGCTGTCCAGATGTTTTGGACAAGAACTGCTCTCAACCCGTTCGCAAAGCCCATGGTCATGGGAGCTGTAGTCCGAAACATCTGGAGAGCAACAGGCCGGCTACCCACGTGGGACTGCCTCTCCCAGTCCAAATACACACTGCTAAACTAGACAGCATTCTGTGTTCTCAGACATCGTAATGGCCTAGCCAAATCTAATCCATCCGAGTAGAACGCTGGCACGCCGGCCCTCTAAAATCTCTCTCTGAAAAGTCACCCGGTTTCCTTTCTTGCTTCTCCCCTGTTCTGCTCTCCGAAGAGGGCTGAGCGATGCCGTCGGTCTCTCTGGCCTTCTGAAAAGAGCCCGCAGCATGGAGTTCCCCGACCACAGCAAGAACTTGCTGCAGAGCCTGTGGGAGCAGCAGCACGAGGGCTTCCTGTGCGACTGCACGGTGCTCGTGGGGAGCACGCGGTTCCTGGCCCACCGAGCCGTCCTGGCGTCCTGCAGCGCCTTCTTCCACATGTTCTACAAGGAGCGGCTGGACAAGCGCGACCTGGTCTCCATTAACAGCGAGATCGTCACAGCGCCGGCGTTCGGGCTGCTGCTGGAGTTCATGTACAAAGGCAGCCTGTCCTTCAATGACATGCCGGTGGAAGATATCCTCGCGGCCGCCAGCTACTTGCACATGAACGACATCGTGAAAGTGTGCAAGAAGAAGCTGCAGGCCCGCGCCTTGACGGAAGCGGACAGCACGAAGAAGGAAGAGGATTCCCTGGGCAGTTCGGAGCATCTGCCCAGCACCTCCAAGGGCCAGCGTCAGACGCCGGAGACACAGCCCTTGCAGCTGCCGGCCGCTCGCCCGGGCGAGGCGGAGAAGAACAAAAAAGAGGAGCGGAAAGGAGGCGAGCGCGCTGGAACTGAGGAGCCGCTGGCCTCCACTTCGGACGTCGCGGACACCACGCAGCCCGGGGTGGAGGCTCCCCCGCCTGCCAGGCCCCTCCTGCCCCCCCTCGTTGACGTCTCTCTCTCCAGCCCCAGCAGCTCCACCGAAACCGTTTCGCACAGCTGCTTTCCTTCGGGGAACGTGGGCGAAGGGCCTTCCGGCACGGACCCCACCCCAGAGAGGTACGGGGACCTCCGGGCGGGGGGCCTCAGCCCGTTCTGCCCGAAGGAGCCACACCAGTCCTCCATCAAGGTCAAGGTGGAGGCCATCGTCATCTCCGACGAGGAGCCCGATGTGGCGGAGCCGTTGGATGGCCAGGGCGCAGAGCTGCGGCTGGAGAGCATTTTCCAGAGGTCTGCCGGGGAGGCGGCCCCCGCTGGAGGCTGCGGGCGGCACCCGGACAGCTTCGAGGAGCCCGCGGGGATGGAGGAGGCCTCTTCCGAGAGCGGCTTCCTGCCGCAGGACCACGTCCCCTATCACATGATCCCCATGGCCAGCGGGCAGACGTTCTCCAACATGGTCACGCCCCCGCTGCACGAACAGCTGTACCTGCAGGACTACGAGTCCCACTCCAGCTTCGGCATCTTCACGGAAGACGTGCCCACGTGCAAGACCTGCGGGAAGACCTTCTCCTGCTCCTACACGCTGCGGCGCCACGCCACCGTCCACACGCGGGAGCGCCCCTACGAGTGCCGCTACTGCATGCGGAGCTACACCCAGTCGGGAGACCTGTACCGGCACATCCGCAAGGCGCACAACGAGGACCTCGCGGCCAAGCGGTGCAAACAAGATGTGGAGAACCCCTCCTAGGCCGCCTGGGGGTCGCTCGGAGGCGCGCGGGAAGGCTCTGGGGAGGCTGTCGCAGTGGCCGCCGGACCAAGCCGACGCCTGCTCTGCGTCCCTTTCGACTCGGCCTTCCCACCCTTTCTGAAGCATCACCCCACCTTTGTCCGGGAATTTGGCACTGGTTTCTTACAGGGTAGTTCTGGGGCAGTGCCGATCGTCCTCTGGATTCCCTTGTACATAGGAAAGGACTTTGATTTCTCTTTTGTATTTATTTATGTGCCGACTATCACAGTACCAAGGAACCAGAGATCAGAGCAGTAATTTTAGCTCCCCAGAAAGATTGCTGAGTTGAGAACAGGTGTTCCGCCTGTGGGAGACCTTGCCTTCCACAACCTGGGGCCCTCCAGCTGTTTGGACTTGGCATTCCTATCAAGCCCAGCAATCAAGGCTACTGGGAGTTGTAGTCCAAAGCATCTGGAAAGCTTTCTGCTCCCGATTGCTGATGCAGCTTAGATGTCAGTACTGGGGTGGAGAGAAAACAAAACCCACCATTCTAGTCCACATGGTGGAAGAGGGTCAGGCCCATTTTACAGATGAGAACTAAGTGGGTGCCAGTGGATACTAGCAGCTCCTGCCAAGGGGTCGTACCCCTCATTTTTTTAAAAATATTTTTACTTACGGGCAGGTGGGGGGCCTGTTGGGCTGAAAACTGGCAGCAACCTGGGACTTCCATCACCATCTCCCTTCCACTTGGGCTTTGCGGCATATGCACCCACATTCCTTCCTGCCTCGATCCGTTCCTCTCCCTTCCCCTCCCCATCCTCAAAATCATCCCCGCAGACCAAGTACTGCCAGCCGCCTCTTCGATCCGGGACTTTGCCAACTCCCCCCCGCCCCCCCCACAAAGCGTGTTTCTCAACCTGTTTGTTCTGTAAGCGGCTGCAAAGCAGCTTCACTGCCAAGGATACACGTTCAATAGTAAAAAATCAAGCACGGTGCTCTTGTATTCTCTGTTTCTTGTGGTTTCTTCTGGTTTCCCACTTCCCCATTTAAATGGGCTTTGCTCATTCCTCGGCCATTATTCCAAGGTGTTGTGGAACCTTTCAAAGTCGCCTCCCTTCCCACCCCTGCAAAGAACCCTGGGAACTGTAGTTCATTAGGGTGGCTAAAGTTCTTGCTCACATCCCAAATCTGGTGCCCCGCAGTTGTGTTGGTCTTCAGCTTCCAGAGCTATTGCCAGCACTTGAGCTCCATTTAAAAAAGACCGAAAATCCACACGAAGAGGTGCTTGGCCTTCAGCATCGTCTCTAAAAACCAGGCTTAGCACAGGCAGAGCAAAAAACAAGCTGCCTTGGATTCTTTGCACAAAAATGGGCAGGACAGAATTATAATCAGTAAAATTAAACGAGGAAAACCAGCCCTTGTTTACACAGCGAGCTCAAATCTTGCAAGGGCTTTGCTTCGATGCCACAACCAACGCTGCGGAAAGCCGATTTTAATCGAGGCCTTCAGAGCCTCATTGGCCAAAAGCGATCCTCTCTAAAGCGTCAAAAGTCGTTCCCCATCTTGATCATTAAGATAACCAGAACACTGAACAAACCAAAAATATATTAAATCATGCAGTTTACTTCTGAATTTTTACCCAGACAAAAGGTTAATACTTGAAGCTTCTTTATGCACAATATTAAAAACACCCTCCTTATCCCCACACTTAAAGTTTGTGTCTTACCCATCTTTCTAGCAAAAACAGCAGAGCTGTAGTGACTGTGGTTAATTCTAGACGTGATCGCTTCGTGTAATCACCACACAGCCTTTCTTAGTTTCCCAAAGGTGATCCCAGTCTTCGGATTCGGGGCACCGAACAGAAACCGTGCTGCAGTGCTATTGTGAGTTCTCGGGAGAGAGGAGCAGAAAGGAGAGAAATTTACTTCACTTTTGGGGTGGCGATGCTTAGAGGAAACGTGGGACTTGGCTCGCAGCAGCTGGGTCGCTCCTACCAAGAGGCAGGCATTGCTCCCCGTAACTGCGGAAGGGTCTGTGACATCCGCTCTCCATCCTAAACGCAAAGAGGAGAAAGCGGGTGGGGGTGAACTCTAGAGGACCCCACAGAGGCCCCGAAGAACCAGAGTGTGCGAGGGCCCATCTTGCAGGAGAGCCACGGCCCCCATCTTCAGCCAAACATCTCCTGCGAGGCATAAGACATGTAGAGGAATCCGTCTTCGTCTTTGAACGTCACGTACACTTCCGCCATGGTGGACGACATACTGACCAAGTTACGATTGCCATTGACCAGGAAATAAAAGGCCTGTGCCGAGCTGATGGACATCCGGTTCCTGAGGGAGGGAAATCGCCGGAATCAGAACCGTGGCTTCCACGGGGCCCTGCGATGCTGTGGTTCCCGGGCCCCACATTTGGGGTCGCACGTGTAATTACGAGATTTCTTTCCCTGCAAAGCCAGGCTGGTTACAATCCAATTAAAGTAGCCGCTGCTTAAACCGGGCCGGCATATGGTTAGCGGGCCCTGCAGCCAGGCCGCCAGATGCTCAGTAAAAGGTTTTGTATTTTATGGGATGGCGGGGCTTACTGGAGGAGGGCAAGATAACAACTGAGGATGCTGCGGGACAAAAATCCGTTGTAATGTGCAGGGCTGCTTTGCTTCCAGGCAGCAGGATACCTCGGGGAGCTCATCCTCTTAAGCTTTCCCAGTTTGCAGGGGACGATGGATGTACTGCTCCAGAGCAGGAGCAGGGCAGGCCATCTGGAATGGCTAAAACGGGTGACCAACACACCTTGGATTCAGCCCTGCCCTTGGCCAAAATAAGATTGCACACCCCAATTGACTGGGCAATGGACACATTCCAAAGTCATTTTTAAAAAAAATCTGGGCCTCCAATATTTCCCCAGGTGGATTCAGACCATTTTCCCGTTAGCCTGCCCATGCATTGCTGGCGATTTCCGGCGTTTGCACTGTTGCCCCTTCCTGTTCACCATTCTGGGAAGGTTCACATGCCTCTCTTGGAAGCCCTAGTTACTGAAAGGCAGAGCTTTGAGCTAAAATGTGCTGAAGTTTGGGGTATTTTGGGCCAGCCCCCTTGCTTGGGTCACCCCATGACTTGCATGAGACCTTTTCCAAAAAAAGAATTTGGAAAAAAAGGCTTAGCACCCTCGCCCCAAAATGTTAGCATTTTCCCTCTCCAGGAAAAAGAGTTTCATTCTTACAAAACTGAAAATAATGGGGGGCAGGGGGTGCCCAACCAGCAGCCCTTGATGCCTATGAATGCGGCCCAACATAAAATCATAAACTCACTTAGAACATTGAGGGGATTTTTTGCCATTTTTTTGGTAACTGGATCGCACAGTTCTCAAGCGTGAACTCGAGTCATGTCACAATATCACGTAAAATAAATGTATGTATGCTCTTGTTCTATGTACACGTGATGTCAAATATCACAAAAATTACGTTGTTTTTTTTTTGCTCATCAGCTTTTGTTAGTGTTTGTGTACTTAATGTGCGGCCCAAGACAAATTTTCTTCATCCAATGGGGCCCAGAGCAGCCAAAAGGTTGGACACCCCTGGGTTAGGGTTTATAGTGCTCTTTACCCCCCGGTCTTAGGGCAGATTAAACAGAGCCAGAAGAGGAATAGAATCGATGTTCAAATATCTACTTTTAGGCACCCACGGGGGCCCCAGCATGGATCCGGATTTCCATGCCTGAAATCGCAGTTGCTCACCGGATGATCGTGACAAACTGGCCCATGGTGAGCTCTTGGGGAACTAAAAACTTAACCCTGTTTAAAGCCGGCAACATTTTCTCCTTGGGGTAGCGCTCCAGGATGACCTGTGAAGAAACAAGGCCCATGTTGGAGAAGATCAAGAGGCCGAGAGCATGCATCCCACCTCCAAGGCAACCAGCCGAACGCCTTTGAGAAGCTCATGTGTGCAGGTAATCGTGAACACTGCCCTTCCCACTCTGTCCTAATAGACAGAGGTAGACTGCGGCTGCACCGGGAGGCTCGTCGGTTTAGCTTTGTGGGCCCCTTGGATTTCAATGGCTCTGCTGTGCAAGGGAATCTGGAACCAACCCAGCTGGACAAAACCTGTGCAAAAAGTACATACCGGCACTTTGCAAGGGAATTTGATCCTGATGGCCGCCACCTCGCTTTTCCTCGAGGCTGGAGATTTAAAAGAAAAAGAAAAACGTTGGGGCAGTTGATTCTACAGAGTAAGAACCCCGATTTGAGAGCCCTGGGCCCTGGCACAAGATGGCTCCCCGAAAACTTAATGACAAGTGAAGATGGGCTTTGTGGTCCGACACACGACACCTCACCATCAACAGACACCTGTTGTATAGCAGTCCCCACTTCCTGCATGAATTTTTTAAAAGTTGGAGGTTGTCCATCTTGATGGGGGTCAAGAAAAGTGTCCAAGGCTCCACACTCCTGTAGGCTCCTCCATTCTCAGGACAAAACCTGCCCCCATAAGCAAGAGCAATCAGAAGACTAACCCTATAAAAGCTACTGTGGCTGGTAACTAATTTAGGATTCTGCAGGGTCTCTTACATGATCCGGTCTTGAACGGTTCAGTCCCGCTTTTGACGTTTTAGGGCGTTACATTTCCTTGTGCCCTGCCCTGGGAGGGTCTACCATTAAAAATGTGCAACGGCAGGCTTAAAACTTTAAAAAGAAATAGCTTTTCCTCACCCCAATTTGCCACAAAGATTCTTAGGCTGTGAAAGATGAACAACAGCCTGAGCCCGCTTTGCCAGACACAGCATCCCGAGTTCTCCTATTCCTCTCTCCCGCTCTGCACAAAGGGGTAGTCCAGATGCTGTTGGACTACAAGTCCCAGCATACTTCACCTTTGCCCATTCAGAATCTGAGGCACCAGATTCCTCCTCTGCCTTGAGATGGAGCAGCTAAGAAGTTCTGGAGATGTTGGCTCACCTCTTACGGGGGTGTTTAGACTGCCGCGTGGGTTACTCCGTTGCAAAGCCCAGAAGATCCAGCTCTTTCCCCATTTTCAACAGCCGCTCCATGCTTTAAAACTACATTAGAACAAAACTTCCCAGCCCTGATTTAAAGTTAAACCCAAGCTTTGCATTTTAAGCCCACCTGCACAGGTAGGAACTTTGCAGGTAAAACCCACTTAAAACTCAGCACTGTGTTGACCCCAGGAATAAATGGAGTTGTTTATGCACCTGCTGGTGTGTGTGTGGGGGGGGGTCATTTGGTGCGGGGGGCAGGCCCCTGGACTTGGGCCCCACGGTCCAACCTAACTGCACCACTGAGGGGGTAGGTGAGCTAGCAACAAGCTCTAACTACTAGAAATATTACACATTTTCATAAATAATTCCCCATAATTAGCCAGTGTGGTGTAGTGGTTAAGAGCATGGGACTGGGACTCAGAGGATCCGGGTTCGAGTCCCCGCTCAGCCATGGAGCCAACTGGGTGACTTTGGGCCAGTCACAGACTCTCAGCCCAACCTACCTCACAGGGTTGTTGTTGTGGGGATAAGATGGAGGAGGAGAGATGATGTAAGCTGCCTTGAGTCATTTGTAGGAAAAAGGCAGGATATAAATTGAAAAAAAAATAATAATAATTATCTGGGGGGGTATAATATAAAACTGGACGGCCAGGGGTCCAGCAGGGGGCGCAAGGAGCCCAAAGCGAACCACGCCTTCCAGGCTTCGGATTGCAAAGCGGCGCGTTTACACGGGGTGATGCGGGGCGGGGGGGGGGGAATAAACCGCCCGGAATAGACTCTTACCGAAGGATTTTCTGTGTTTGAACGGAGGCATCGAATCCATGTCGGGACACGCGCCCCCTTTTCCTGCGCTCGGCGGCAGCAGAAAGCGGAGCGGAGAAAAGAGAGAGCCGCTCCCCGCCGCCTCCCGGGCGCTTAAATAGGGCGAGGCCTGCGCGCCCCCACCGGCCCAAACTCGCCCCGCAAGCGCTTTCCCGAAGCGGGATCGCCAAGGTCTGTTTCCGGTGGGGGCAGTTCTTCCCCCCCCCCACTAGCTCAGATCAAATGGGATCCAAGACCGGGGAAACTGGCTGCAAATGAAGTGTGCCATCCCATGCGTGTTTAGACGGGAAAACGGATCTGCAAGTTATAGGATTTCTCCCCCCGTCTTGATGTGTGCAACTCTACGGCTGTTCCCGGCACGATCCTGGGCGTGTTCAGACCGGGAAAAGTCCCGCATCTAAAGGGTTTGGACTTATCTTTGGAGGAGGAGGAGAAGGAGAATATATTTATCAGGGGTCATTCTAACAGTGGATCGAGTCCCTTGATAACCAGATATGGCTTAAAAAACGGACTGCACGAGGAACCGTGAAATCCAACTAACTGGATGGCTTCAGGCATAGATAGAACGCTGCATCCAGCAATAAATGGCGAACAACGCTGGTCTACCTTGCAGGGCTGTTGTGAGACCTGCAGCAAGGTGTTTTGGATATGAAATTTAGTAGATCCAGCTAGGTGATTTTGAGACTCGGCCTTAACAGTCTGAAGGAGCTCCAGTCGAGCTCTTCATAGCCACACGTCCATTGCAGGAAGGAATGAAAAGCCCTTTTGTCCTTCTGATTTGCATGGCTGGCTACTCTTTTTTTTCATTGTTTCCAAGGGTTCTTCGAGTATGTTTATTTCGAGGTACTCAAGTCATCCAGGGGATGTTCTGACTGAGGCGTATATATATATTTGGAAACAAATCGGAAGGAGAGCTGGGGACCGGGACAGCAGCAGGCAAACCTGGCAGACAGACTCTCTCTTGCTAGGGCGTTTCCCTGCTTCAGACTCTTGCGCACCTGCAGCGGATCGAGCGCGTTTCCCTCAATTTGACTCTCCCCGCAGGCCTGCGCATGGCATGCAGCTTGCTTTCCCGCAGACCTCGCGGCCCCTTTTCAAGCCCGCCGGATCGACACTGGAAGGAAACTGCTTCTCTGATCGGCGCCCTGGGGGCAGAAGGGCTGGATTTCCCCCCCTTTCCTCCCCGATCCACGCACCCACCCGCCCGCTTGCTTGGGCTCCCAGCTGACGAGAGGCGCGGGCAGGGCAGGATCGGGCGCCGTCGCTGGCGAGCCGGACGGTTTCGTGCAGGGACCGGGCTTATTTCGAAGTCGCGTCACCTGCTGCACTTCCAAGAACGGGAGAAGCGCCCTGCGCGGGGATCACCTCCCTCCGTGCCCGCAGGAGCTCTCCCCTGCCCATGTTCCCCGGCGGCGGGCGCACATGGGCCCCGCAGCCGCTCTCGCGAGCGCGCCCCCCCCCCCCCGCAGCGCGCCCCCCCCCCCGCAGAGCGCGCCCCGGCGCCCCGTTTGTTGTTGTTTCTTTTCCCCCGCGGCGCGGGCCAATGGCGGGGCGGGGCGGGCGCTGGAGGGGGCGGGGCCGGGGGCGGGGCCGGCGCGCCGCCACGTGACTCGCGCCAACCTGCCTCTTTGTCTGAGCAGCTGCTCGGCAGCCGAGCGGAGCGGAGCGGCGCGCCGGCGAAGTTGGCGGCGGGCGGGCGCGCGCGCTTCCCGGGGCCCCGATCCGCCGCCGGCCGCGCCCGCGAGCCGAGCCGAGCCGGAGCGCCCATGGCCGCCCGCAGGGCCGCGCCGCCCTCGCTGTGGTCGGGCAACGAGCGGCTGCGCATCGGCGAGCGCCTGCAGGCCAGCCTGGCCGGGCTGCTGGAGCTGGAGCTGCTGCGGGAGACGCGGCGGGGGAGCGTGCAGCGCGCCCTGCACGAGAGCCGCGCGGACGGGCCGCCGGCGCAACAGGTGAGGGCGGGGACGGGGACGGGGAGGCCGGGACGGGCCGGGCGCCGTTCCCCCTCGCCCGCCGGCCGCGCGGCAGCCCGAGCCCCGGAGCGGCTCCCGGTCCGCGGGGGCGGCCGCCTCGCGGTGCGGCGCCGGGCCGGCCCCTCCGCCCGCAGTGGGGCCCCCCGAGGAAGCGGGCGCGGGCGGTGCCCGGAGCGCGCCTGGTGGAATCGGGGTCGTTCGCCGCTCCTCCCCGCAGCCTGCCGCCACGACGACCCTGCGAGGTAGGGCGGCTCAGGGTCACGCGGCGTGCTTCGTGGCTGCGGGGGGCCGCGAACCCGGCCGGAGCCGCCGAGCTCCTGCCCAACCCTCTCACGAGGCCGCAGGAGCCCTTGTGGGTTTTGTCGCCGTGAACCTTTCCACGGGAGCCCCCCCCCGGAAGCCACCTTCCTAGCCCGTTGCTGCTGCTGCTGCTGGATTTGCTGGGCTGCTTCATTTCCCGGGCAGGTGTTTACCTTGATTCTGATAGAGGCCAGCTTAGCCTAACCCAGCCCATGTGTACTCAAAAGTAATCTCCATTCAGTGCTATGGAACGTACAGCTCCCAGGTTGTGTGTCTTGTGCAGGCCAGCGCTCGCTCACGGAGCAGCAAACCCCTTCGGAGCTGTTGCAGCCGGAACCTGCTTTGTTCTGGGCGCTTTTTACTTTATTTCTTTGAGAAACATCCCAGCCTTCCCCAGAAAGCACCCAGTTATCTTGGGCTCGCAGGCGAACACCTTGTCTGTAGCACAACGCACAGCATAAAGTTGTGCCTCCGAACGCCACCTTTCTCCAAAAATGCAAGGATGCAACGGTGAACGCCACACGCGAGTTAAAAAACCAACGGAAGGCTTGCTTGAAAGATTCATAGGGCATGTAATGTTTGTAAACATATATGTGACCTTGATAATACAATCCAGGAATGTATTGAAAGCAATGAGACTTCCTTCTGAGCAGAAAGGTGTGAGATTGTGTTGGCTGGCCTTTTCGGAGCCCTCTAGCTTCCTCCTAGAGTGAGAGGGCTGCGCTTTAAAACTCTTACACTGGCTTAGCTTTATATATTGAAAACACGGTCTTAGTAAATCAGAGTTTCTCAGTTCACAGTGGCAGGAACTGAGTTCAGCAAGGCACCATGAAAGTGGTGAGTTCAGCAAGGCACCATTGCTATGGGTGACCTGGAGCTTTTGTGGGGAGCGGGGGAGCGATGCCCTCAGTGGGGCAAGCCCCACATTCAGCAGGCTGTGCAGGGAACTGTTCCAAATAAACCAGGTTGATTTCAAGACACCCCACTGCCCAGTGGGACCATCAAGTCCGAAATCTATAATGTCCTATCTCGGTCACTGCTGCAGGGAGAACAGTGAGTCCAATCCAAGGGAATGCTTTCAGCATTCTTCTGCTTAAAAATTACTCTGGATCACGTGACGCAAATTAGTTCTGTCTTAATGATGTCCATGGTGTTGTTCAACATGTGGCAGTTGAATCTTGATGGGGCTTCTTTAAAGTCAAGCCACATCCAGCTTAGACCACTTATGGGGTTTTGAAAACTCACTAATGTCAAAGAGGCCAGCCTCCCCAGATTCTTCCAAAGACATCTTTATTTCCAAAGAATTATTTGCAAATCGGCGGTGTTGTATCGAAACTGTCTTTTGTAAAGAAAGGGGGCTCTGCCCTGAGGTGCTTTGGCATTGAGAGGCCATAAAGGGGGCGAAGGAAGACGCTGAAGGTGTGTGCTTAGTTCAGCTGTACGTCTTCAGGTGACCTTCCCATAGGTGAGAAACACTGTAGACCTTGCCCCAGTCTGAGCAACTTCTAGCCCAGGATCCCTCACACCTGAGTCGATTCTGAGTCTGCATTTTTGCTTTACAAATGGGAAAAAGCGCTGGTGGAACTGAGTAAAGGAATCCACGCAGGAGAGAAGGAAGTCTTTCGTGGACGAAAGTTGCTAGGGGAAAGATGCCCAGATGCTGAGGAGGTTTGTGGGGAGAATGTTAGAGGGGATGAACTGGGAGCAGAATTTTGGGTAAGAGATGGGAAAGGTCTGGGATCAGCGAGGGGTGGACCTGGGGGGCAGCCAGTACGACTAGGGGCTAAGATAGGGGTATGTGGAGGTGGTCGCTGTGATGGGGGAGATATTTTGGGGTTCAAGGAGAGGACTCCAGGATGGGTTTCTGGAGTCAGGGCATAGAGGGCAATTTAATGCCAGAAAACTGGGCCAGAATCTAGAAAGCCGAGGAAGGTGCTTGATCGGGGAAGGGAAGGGGGGAAAACCTTGTAGTGCTGACGTGGCAGATGGGTAATTAATGTACTAGACGAGGTGGAGAAAGGAGGAGGGGTGGGGAAGGTGGGGCATGGGGCCCGCAGAAGGGAGCCGAGCGAGATGCCGCGAAGCGATGAGAGGTAGATTGGGAGGTTTGTGGACATTTGGCGGAATCCTCCTGGCTTCGCACAGGTTTACCAAGGGCAAAATATTTAGCCCACATATGCCCTGGTTTGTTGTGTTGTCAGTTCAGCTAGAATAGGTGCTACTCCCTGGTGGTTTTTGTAGTGCCATGTTAACAGTCCTTCCTTCTTTCCCCAACCTGGCGCCATGTGGATATGTCGGGCTGCACGGTCCTGAAATCCCCAAAAGGAGGGCAGCAGGTGTGGGAAAGGAAGACAGTAATATTCACCTATCCGTGTGCCCCTGAAATGGGTCTGGGGGGAGAGGAAAAGGGAATTTATGTCTCCATTGCTTGGGATCTCCATTAATATCTTTCAAGCAATCTTCAAGAATCGCCCTAAGATTTCCCCCAAGGAATTCAGCCAAGAAAGGAGTTCCTGAAGCCAGAGGAGCATTCAAAACTGGGACCACAAAACCTGGCAAAGATTTCTGTCTTACTCAAAAACACCCTTGGCTGGCTTTCCCCCTGAACAAGTTGTCTTTCCAGTTTTGTGTCCAAGGTATATTGGCACACAGGCTTTCCAAGTTTGCATTCCTCCGGTGCAAAACACTTCTCACAATTCCATGAGTCCGTATTCTGCCCACAATTGCGTGGCTAAGTTTGATGAAATAGCAGATGGATTAACTTGTAGAAGAAGCGACCGGGTTAAGAATCCACAACCTTTTAAAACAGTACCGCTTCTCTGTCACCACTTACGTGTTTTTAAATTTGGGGAATTTCCAACGTGGTAACGTTTGAGAAATTGCCCCTGGGTGCTAGAGAAATTCTGATATTTAACTTCTCTTCTAGGAATGTGTGTGGGAATTGTTACATTTTTGTTATCCGTTGCAAGAAATGTTTATCCCTATTCTTTCTTTTCCTTAACTTGAAATAGACACTATTTGGTTAACATAATAATGCTGAGTAACCCTGATAAAGCTTGAATAGAAAAATTCCACACACTGACTATGTAAATGAGAATGTACTTGTATTTTAAATATTGGTGTGGCTATAAAATTGGGGGAATATGCAAGCTAGTGAGCCTGGAAAAACATTAGTATCTAGAACAGCTTGGATCCTGAATTCACACTTGGAGTTTAATTATATGCTACACTTTAAAAAAATGAAGTTGGGGGTTGGACAAGGTGAATTCATAGCCATGTTAAGAGGGCGAGCCTTACTCATTAACAAGGTGCTTTCCAGATGTTTGGGTTTACAGCCCTGGCCAGCTGAATCTTTCTCAAACATCTGGCAGCCCCCAGTTCCCAACTTCTGCTTTAGGGACCGCCAGGACAGGACAAGCTCTTGCTCCAGACTTTCTCTGCTTGCCGCATCCTCATCGGTTGGTCCGTTCGCATGCTTGGCCTCGTTTGGAGCCAAGGATGCCCTTTGCAAAGCAGCTCTCTCTCTCCTCTGCCCCCGAAAGGCAGGGCGTCCTCGATCTGGGAGCACCGGTGGGACAGACCCTCGGTTTTTGAGCCTCGTGGCCTCGGCCTCCATGTTCTCGGCGTCCTCCCCGCCCCCGGCGGGCTGTGCTCACGAGCCCCGGCAGACGCCAGCCGGCCCTCCGTGCGTGTGCGGGGGTGGGGCAGGAGGGCAAACCAAACAAAGCACCTGCTGTTTGCCACGGTGACTTCCTCCTTGGCACAGCTCCCGGCTCCTGCTGGAGCCCGCAGGAACAAAGAGGCGGCTCCCTGGCTCCAGAAGGGCCCCACTCAGCTGGACTGCGGCTGCAGCCTCTCCGTTGCAGCGGGAGGGCCAAGGGGATCCCTCCTCCGTGCCGGCTTGCCCGCGGACGTCCCCCGGCGAGTCTCGGGAGGATCCGGGGAGTGTGGCCGCGGGGTTGTTGGCCACGCCACGGGCGTGCGTGAAACCTGGCCTTTGGGGGACTCTGACTGGGTCGTCTCGGCCCCTGCAAATCGCAGCCTCTCACGGGGGATTGTGGGTACTGTTGGGCCCGCGGCTTAATAGGCTTTGCTGTTTGTTGCCCTGCCGTTAGGGAGACGCCGACTGTCATGGCTGGCCTTCTGTGGGACCCCAGTGCGTGCAGGGGATTCTGGGTAACGGCCAGGGCATTGTTGGCGCAAAGAGCATCGTGCTGCAGGGGACCATCCAGCCAAGCTAGGCTTGCTCTCTTCCGCACCCAAGAGCCCTCCGGGAGCTTTCTGGACAGGGCCTTCCCACTGTGCAGTCTGGGAGACGTGGGCGGTCTTGGGAGAAGGGGCCCAGTGGGCCCCTCCAGATGTTTTGGACTACATGGCCCATCAGCATGGCCGGTGTGCAAGCTGAGCAAACAAGTGTGGCTCAGACGTGTCAAGGGAGACTGTTGGTCTTTCTAGATGAAGAAGCAAGACTAAGGACTGCCCAGTCCACTGGAAAAGCAGATAGGCCGTGCCATTTATGCTAACAGAAATCCGGGCAGAACACCCCAAAAGGGATGGGCAGTGCCCACGCTTAGCACTAAAACAGCTCAAAGGGTGGTGGGCTCAAGCGGAAGGAAGGCCTTCTCTGGGAGACCTCGAGCCAGGCCATAGTCCCCTACGAAGCACCAGGAGTGTGGCTTCCCGTGGGCAGGCGGGGAAGCGAGGAGGCGGCCTCTCAGTCAGGTCCCGGAAGGCCCGGCGTCTTTGGAGTCTGTGATCGTCTTTGGTCGTACCTTTTCAGCTCTGGGCAGACTGCCTGGAAACGACCTCTGGAGGCACAGGCACACGCTCCAAAGTAAAAATGAAAACCCAGAAGGGCACAAGAGTAGTTGTGTTGGACTGGCACGCGGAAGTTTGGGGTTCTTGTTCTCACTTGGCCAGGAAGGTCTCTTCCTAACCTACTCACAGGGTTGTTGTGATACGGGGAGAGGAAGGGGATTATATTGACCCCTCCTTTGTGTTCCTTGAAAGAGGGAAAAAAGCTGCATATGAATATATAATAATAAATAGGAATTATCAGTAAATTGTCAGGAATGTGCTCCTTAGCTTGCCCCATGCCCCCCAGATTTGTAGGACTGCAATTCCCATCATCCTCATCTGCCCCAGGCTGGGGAGGCCTGTACCACCCAGTGCGGTGTCCTTCCATTGGCTGACCGTCTCTGGGCATTTCCTGGTCCTACGAACAGGACACGTCTTGGAACCTTCTGTCTCCTTCTAAACGACTGGCTGAGAGCTGAAATGTGCAAGCTCGCATATCGCTGTTGGTGCAGGACTGTACCACATTAGACGGTGGGAGGCAGGCGTGGCGTTCCCATCATTGATCTGAGAAGTTCTAAACCCAGCTCCCTGCCCGGAAGAAGCTTGCCATGTCAGGGAATGTCCCTCTTACACCACAGGCCCTGTTCATCTAAAAGCGGTACAGTCCAGCAAAAGAGCTCAGTTTCTTCTCATTGGGTAGCTCTTCTCTTTTCTGCCCATCTGGGCACAGGGGAGGCCTTGCTGAAGCCTGGCTAGAACAGTTACCCCGCTCTTTTCGGAAAGGCGCCCACCTCCCCCCCTTTCTCCCTGCCTCCCTTCTCCACTCCATCTCCCATGTGGGGCACACCCTCCCTTCCGATTCGGTCCCATTTCTTGTTCTTGAACTGGGAGGTCAACCTGCCTGGACAAATGGCTGGGTGGAGGACACGGCTCCGCACCCCACCCCTGGCCGGGAGGGGCAGGCCCGCGCACCCAGGAATTTAATCGCGGACAAACACCATTATCTGCCCATGAGTGAAGAAAGGTGTTGGAATTGCTGGGAGAGGTCAGTCTAGCCCTCCTGGGAGCCTTTAACTGTGTGGGGTGGATGTGGGTAGAAAAACCACCAGTGCCTAGCCTCCTGAACAGGGGTGGTCCACCCCGCCGTCCGAGGGGTACTGGCCCGCCTCGCAGCGCCCATCTCTCCCCGTCTGTCAGGGACAGCCTGTCCTTTCCAGCTCTTGTCCCTACGGAGGACTAAGTCTGCTGAAGCTCAGACTGCCCTCTGAGAAATGCACCTAGGAATATGAGGTTCTGGGCAGAGTCCAAGCGAGCCTTCCTGTGCTGACCTTTGCATCCGATCCGGCTGCCACCGGCCTCCCCAGCCAGGGTGGCCCGATGCAGAAGTTGGAGGACTTCATGACAAGCTAGACTGGTTTTCATCCCCTCTCCTACAGAACTATTCAAAGGGCAAAAGCCCTCTTTTGTGCAAGGAAAAAACTGCTTTAGGGTAGCTGCAAGGGGGATGTCAAGCAGGCAGAAAAACCCCAAAACAAAAGGGTCCCACGAGGACTGAGTAAGTCACCGGTCACAGAGTTGGGGCTGATTTGACGTATTCCAGGAAAAACCCCACTTTCGTCTGCTCCCAGTTTGTCCATCGATCCCAGTTGCATCCACTCCAGCCTCCCCCAACCTAATACCCTCCAGCTGGGGTTGGACTGGTACCCTTAGCATCCCCCAGCCAACATGACTGGGATGAAGATGGACAAAATGGACAGTATTTTAAATTTATTGTATTTAGAATACAGCTCAAAAAACAGTCTAAGTAACTCTGGAGATGTACTGCAGGTCTGGGTGGATAGAGAGACCTGGGCTAAGATTTGCCAGCAGTTTGATTCGGTTTAAGGTTGCCAGGTTTTGCCCTGAGCCCAAGAAATAGATTCTGGGGCTCAGCACTGAACTTCGAAGTATTGGGCGTGAAGAATCGTTCTTCAACTTCGTTTCTCCTTATCTGTAAAGTTAGGAACAATCTTGGATGGGTTCACAAAGTCCTCCTAGGATAAACAAAGATAAATACTTTTATACCGGTTGACGTAAGACAGTTGCCTATGAAGTCATGTGCTAACATTACTTGGGTTTCTCGAAGTTTACAAGGAAATGGTTTGTCGAGAAAGCATGGCATTGATTTATGGAATGCGTGGCCACGAGAAGTGATGGTGATGATTTTAAAAAAAGGAACACGGCTGTTTGTCATTGTCTACTAGCTAGCAAAAACTTGAAGTCCCATATTCCAGTCATTGGGGATCATTGAAGAGTGGGGGGGGCGTAGAGGAATGCACGTCTTTCTGAGCAGGCCAGGTATCAGCTTACAGAAAAACACAAATAGTAAATTGAAAGTATAAAGGGATGTTTGGTCAAACCAGGTTGTTTTTATTTGTTCCTTTTTTTTTGGTTTTGTTTAATGTGATGGAATGTTTGCGTTGTACTTTTGCTGAACATCTTGCATTCCATGTTCTATTCTTTGGAGAACAAAGGACTTTATTATCCGCTGGACCTCTGAGTCTTCTTTTTTGGTGCGGTTGGATCATCTGCAAAATGTTCTTTTTTTAGTAGGAATCACAATTCCACCCCCTGCCCTGCCTCATCCCCCCCCCCCGCCCAAAGTGTCAAATGGCAGAATCCGTATTAGCATCAAACCTTTATTCAGTCAAGCAAAAGATCACAGAAATGGTCCCAACCTTTTGAAAAGGGTTTGTGTTTTTTCTGTTGACTTAATCACAATTATATTAGCTTGCTTTCTGAGCTCGTTTGCCCAAGTTGTGGTTTGATCTGTGTTTTGCCTCTGCTGGGAGCTTCCAGAGTGGCTCTCTTTGCTCTGCCGGGAAGGATCCAGAACGGCGATGAACTCGCTGGCCGAACAGGAGCCCCCCGAGAAAAAACACCAGATGGGGGGCTTCTGGGTGCTGTTGCAGCGGTTCGGGTTGGACGGATGGCTGGCCGTCCTCGGCCCGTCCACCCACCGGCCACATGGCCACTGGCTTGCTCCGCATTTCAGTGGGTAACTAGGGGCCCCTGGACAAAAGCAACAGCTGCGTAGCTTAGGAGCAGAAAAAAGAAGGAGGCGGGCCCACTGCTGTTTGCTTCGGTCTTGCTGGCTCAGCAGAGGGGGCTTCTCCCCCCCCACCCCTTGCTTTTCCTCGCAGGCAGCAGCTGCCTTGGCTGGTCGGGGCGGGGGTCCGAAGGCACGTTGCAACAGTCCCCCTCCAGCTCCCCACGGCGATCGATAAATCTTGCAGGCCCGGTCCAGGTGCAGAGAGTTGCCTTCCCGTGCGTGCCCCGTGCGGCACCCCACAGCCATCCCTGCCTGGGGCTTGGGGTCCGGACTGGCTGCAGCGCCCCTCAGCCTCTCCCTCCGTGTATCGGCAGCAGCCTGAAGTTGGTCCTGCAACGGCACGGGGTGTGATTCGGGCGGCCGGCCGTGCTCTTTCGTCACGTACTCCGTTCCGTTCCCTCTGGGCTGGCTTTCTGTCTCCCTCCTCCCACATACCCATGTGTCCCATGTGGGTGGGTTTGCTCCTTCCACTATTGGGGGGTTTCCCCCTCCCTCTAGAGTGGGTCTGTCTGGGAAGGGGCAGTCAAGGCTTTTCTGCCCCCCCCCCCCAGCTCTTTTGGCGACGTGCGGATGGATGCCCAGAGAATGAGTTGTCTGTCAACTTGCAGCAGAAGTAGGAATGCCGGCATCTTCCCATGTTTCAGCACTACAACTCCTATCAGCTTATCCAGGGTTAGGAATTATGGACGTGGTAGTCCAAAACGGCCAGAGGGCTGCAGGTTGCTTTGAGGAGGAGGTCAGGAGAAGAGGGATCACAAAGGAATTCCTCCACAAGCCAGTGGGGGATGCGTGGAGGCTGGAAAGCTGTATCACCGCGGATGCTTTCCTTAAATTGCAGCCAGATGGACGGGAGAGCATCAGATGCTGGGCTTCTCGTCCCCTCCCCGTCCCCAAGGTCTGCCTCCTTTGGCAGACACACTCCCAAAAGCGGAGGAACGGAGTTCTCCTGAGCATGTGCTGAGGGCAGGAGTCCATGCCTAGTGCCAGCCCCTAGCTGGCAAACCCTTCCCCATACAGATCCACCCTGGTTCGTTTATTTAAAGTTTTTATAAGTAGTCCTCTTGCTACATGGTCTCGGGATGGTTCCATCCCCACCCTGAATTTCTCAGCTTTTAGGGCACAACGTTAAACAGGTGCAGAGAAGGAAAAGAGAGAAGTCTTAGACTTGCGGCATTTCCCAGCCTGCACCGCTTTTTAGGTTCTGGGGCTTTTTCCCCAGCGTGCACAGGTCTGCACAGCTGCGGATCAGAAACCCTTGCCCATCTCTGCGGCTGTTGCCAGCAGCGAATAGCCGCAAAGACAAGGACGAGGACTTCCGCTGCCCCAGGCAGTGGGGACGAACGACCAGGAAGGCCCCCTGCCTTCCCCCGGTCTTCCCAGGATTCCTCCGGTGGCCTCCACGGGCCCTTCCTTGCCGTTCCCCTCCCGCTGAATTCCTTCGCACTTTCTGCCTGGCAGGAGGAGGACCCAAACAGCCCCGAGAGGGCCGGCTTCGCCACCCCCAAGCTGGACCGGAGCAAGTCGGAAGACCTGCTGGGCACTCCCAAGGAGCCTCGGGCCTCCTACAGCTCTTCGGAGAACATCGAAGCGCTGCACACGGACGCCGGAGGCAGGGCGGACCCCCGGTGCCTCGGCCTGCAGATGATGGGCGAGTCACTCCTCTCGCCCAAGAAAGTCGGGGGGCACGGAGGAGACACCCAGGAGATCCCCGAGGCGGACTCTCGGCCCAGCTCAGGTATGCCTGTCTTGGTTCTGCACGCTGACCACCTCCGGCCTTCTTCCTTCAGGCAGGTTCTGGATCGCCTCTTTGTTTGCTCTTAGAAGCAAGTGTCCTTCATTGAGTTAAACTTCAGTTATATGCCTGCCCGGCCCTTAAGATCGCCCCCTGAGGTCCTTCCCTGGGACCCACCCTCAAAGATCTGAGCAGGGTTGCCACTAGGGGAACGGTCTTTTCAGTCGTGGCCCCCGATTGTGCAATCGGCTCCCCAGAGAGGTACGCCTGGCACCGAGTCTCCGTGCTTTTCAGCCCCAGGCTAAAACCTTTCTACTTGCCCAGTATTTCAATTGTTCAACGAGGACCTTTGTGCGATTCTATCCTGTCTTTTATCTGTCACTGGATCGCCGTGGATTCTTTGCTGTTATAATTTTTCTAATTACGGATTTTATTCTTGCTTAGGACTGGTGCATTATGGTTGATACTGTATGATATGATTGTTGCTGTGCTGTTCTGTGTTGTTGTATTGGGTTTTTACTTTTTGCTGTACCAGCCTGCAGAGGCATTTGGGCCGCGAGTCCCAGAATCCCCATCCAGCAGGGCCATTGACGGAATTCTGGGTGCTGCAGTCCAAATGTATCTGAGGTTCCATTTAGCCCTCAAGGGTAACAGCCGGTGCGCCTTCGGCCCTGTTCTTTATCAGCCCCCCTAAGCCGGGGTGTGTCATCACAGCTCTGTCCGCCTTTCAGGCTTCTACGAGACCAGCGAGGTGGGCTCCTTGTCGGACTCGTGCGCCTCCATGCACAGCGACGGGCCCGGCGGGTCGCGCTGCAGCGTCGGCTCCCTCTCCCACCTGCCGGGCCTGCGGGAGAGCCACCTGGCCCGCCCGCACTCGACCGACGAGGCCGCCGTCCGCCTCCTCGACCTCCGGCTGCAGCATCTCGCCTTGGCTCCTGGTGCCGACAGCAGGCGGCCCGTATCGACAGGTGAGGCCACACCTGACCTGGACAGTGACCCTGTCCGGACAGAGGGAGGTTAAGGGCAAGCCGGTGACTCAACCGGCCTTCCCCCCAGAACAAAGGCAGCTTTGCGGGAGCACTGAGAGAAGTAGACGAGGCTAGGAGCATAGGCTCTCAGTCTTAAAACGAGAGCAAGGCTCTAGTCCTCATGACTGCAGGTTTGGAAGGGGATGTAGGCAAGTGGGGGAAATGGTGGCTCTCCAGAGGTTGTTGGACCGCAGCTTCTTGGAGCCCTTGCCATCTTAGACAACAGTTGCAAATTATGGGAGCCACTGTCCAGCCACATCTGGAGAGGACACATCTGTACGGCGGCAGCTGCGTCACTCGCAGAGGCTCTTTGCACACCTCCCCCTGCCGTCTTGGCCCACCGGGGTGGGGAGGGGACGTGTGGCAGTGATGGGACATCCCGGTGGCTTCCAGGCCAGCCAGCAGGGCCCACTCTGCCCTCGCGGGGCTTTGCTTGTGTGGAGAGGAACGCTCCAAAAGGCTCGAGTTCCAGCTCCCGAGACCCGCACGTCCGGGGACTGTCTGATTCGCCCCTTCAGACGGGCCCGACCTCCCGCTGCAGGTCCTCCCCCCCGTAACCTCCGTTCCGCTGTCTCCCCCGGCAGGCGACCTCGAGTTCCTCCTGGGCCTCGGAGACCTGTCGCTCCCGCTGCCGAAGAACCCGAGCCTTCGGCTGCTGCACTACACGTCGGACCTCGTCTCGCGGAACACCAACGAGGTCTACCACTACCCCAGCCCCTTGCACGCGGTGGCCCTGCAGAGCCCGCTCTTCACCAGCAGCCTCTCCCAGAGCTCGTCCCAGGAGGATCTCGACGAGGGGGCCCCCCCGGAGCCCGCCAGGACGGGCTCCCCAGAGGCGGCCTCCGCAAGCCCCAGGGAGGAGCAGAAGGCCCGCTTAGACCTGTACGTCGCGAAGCTGGTGCTGCGCTACAAGTGTCGCTCGGCGGCCGGCAGGACGGAGGCCGGGCCCCTCGCGGGGCGCCAGAAGAGTCTCTCGCTGTCCTCCGTCTGCGGCTCCGTGCTGGGCGCCGGCCAGCTGCTTGCCCCGGCGCCCGGGTGGAAGATCCGCCGGCGCATCTCCACGTGCTCCCACCTGCGGTCCCCCGAGGGCTCCGAGGGAACGCGGGACTCCCGGGTCCTGGACGGTCAGGGGGATTTCACCCAGTTCCTGGAGGTCGGCTCTGTCCAGGCCAGCTCCACCAAGCTCGACAAGGCGGGCGAGCCGTCGGTGCTGTCTCTTCCGGACGCCCTGCTGCCGTCCCAGGAACCGTCGGTCAGCCCCTGCCCGGATAAGCTGCCCGGCAGGTCGGGGAGAGGCGCTCCGAGCCGGCCCGGCGAGCCGCAGGGACACCCGGCCCAGGCGGAGAGGCCCTGCGGGAAGCGGGCCTTGTTCCCCCAGGCCGACGGCAACAAGCTGTACAAAGGCAAACACGCTTCCCGGGAATTGGTGAAGACCCCCGAGAGGCCCGAGAAGGGCTCGGAGAGGAGCTGGCTGAGCCCCCGGGAGCTGCTGCGCCGGCTGAGCTTCCGGCGCAGGCCTTCGGCCCGAGTGGGGAGCAGGGCTCGCGCCAGCTCGGAGATCAACATCCACGTGGCGGCCGGGCTGGCCTGCCACGGCGAGCACCACGCTGCCCGAGGGAAGGCCGCCAAGCCCAGGTGGGCCTCGGTCCTGGAGATCTCCAGCAAGGCTCCCGGGCGGCATCGGCCGAAGGCCGCCACTTTCCACCACCCGCCCCATGTGCTCCACCGCCACCTCGCCTTCCCCTCCGATTCGCCGGCGTCCTTTTGCTTCCTCGGGGGCAGCCACCTCGACCTGCCTCCCCGGCCGCGGCCCGGGCTGGCCAGCAGCACCTCTGGCCTGGGCAGGGTGGAAGCCACCAGCGCCCTCAGCCTGAACGGGGACTGGATCCTCCATCAGCTCGGGGACAAGTGGCCCCCCACCTCGGCCACCCTGGACCCTGCTGACCTGCCGGTCCGTGGGTTCAAGCTTCGGCGCAGCCGCTCGTTCAAAGAGCTCAGGAAGGTGGTCTCCCGCTCCATCCGGGGCTCGCGAACAACCAAGTGACGTGCTTCCTCCGCCACGCCGCCCGTCCTTCCTCCGAGAAGGCGAAAAGCAGGCAAGACGATCCACCCCGTGCCACGGGAGGGTGTGTTGGAGAAGCTTCTCACCTGGTCGCAGGTGTTGAGTCAGCAGGCCAAGTCTCGTGGCCCCTGTGTGGGCACGGGCACACACACACGGTCCATCCCCCTCTCGGGGAAGAGGTCAAGCACATCTTTAAATTCAAAGTTTGAAGCCTCGGGATATCTTCATGAGAACCAAAGAGTGACACTGAACTCTGGTGCTCTTTAGATATTTCTTGCTCAGCGGGTGATGTGATTGAGGGTTAAGGGAGAGAAGAAAGGGGAGTTTTGCGATGAGTGTTTCTTGATCTGATGTTTCTCTCGTCCGGGCAGCATAATGGGCACCTGGGTGGGAGGGGTAAAGGGTGATCACTGCATCCTTTCCCCCCCCCCAAGTTGAACAGTTGATCTCTTCGTAATTATTTTTAATTAAGATACTTTGGAAGAACATGCAGGCCTGCCCCATGTAGATTTTATTTAAGGCTTGAGCCAAAAGATGCAAGGAAGCCAGCTGAATTTCTGACAAATCCCCGCACCTTGGTCCGGCCTTGCGTGGGGTTTTTTCGTTTCGTTTTGCAAGTCCAGAAGGTTCTTGAGCTTCGAGTGGCCCATGAACTGAGTTGCTTTGGCTTAACCCAGTGGCCCTTCAGATTCACTGGACTGCAGTTCCCATCATTCCTCCCCGTCGGCTAGGCTGACAGTGACAGGAGTTGTATTTCACCAAGATCTGAAGCACCTCCTCTTCCTCCCTCGCTCAGCAGGTTCCCGATTGTGCAGGTCTAACGGGAACATCAAGAGTGTTATATTTTGGTCCAAAATTGGACCAGGAAGTCAACACCGTTTTTGGCTTCCTGAATCATCTTTGAAGATTCCTTTGGGCCCTCTTCTGTCTCCCGTTCCAAAACAAAGGATTTAGCCCAAAGTGACGGCAGTCACCCTGATTTTTTTTTTTCCCTTCCTTGGGTCTCCATCTGAGAGCATCCAAACGTTTTCCTAGAACTTTCTCTCTGAGGCTGCTACTACATTTCAAGGGAACAGATGCTCCTTCTACCTTTCTACCCGAACACTTGAATTTCCTTGGAAGCTGTTAGCGTGAAAAACCCATTTCATTCTGTGTCGTCATCGTTTCCTGAAACTGTGAACCTGTTTCCTTCTTTTTCTCCCCTGAAATGTAAAGGTTGAGCTTAGGAAAAAATAAACAAGCCATTTTAAATTGGGTGGTTTCTACTCATCCCTGCCAAAATAACAGTGTGGCCAGACAAGAGCGCAGAGGATTACGGCAGGGGTGTGGAACCGCGCTCAGCCCGAGGGCCCGTTTCATTTTGGAGCATCTCTCCCGGGCCGCCTTGTTCTGGTGATGAGTGAGGCCAGAGGCTAAAAGGAGAGGGCCAGAAATGCTTGCGTGTTTTAGCTGCTGCCATCGACTACGGGCATCAGGCCGCAGTGTGTCAGTTCAGGTAGAAAGGGGGACAGGATCTGTGTGTGAATCGCTTTAAACTCCAAAAGCAAACCAGGAAATACTATGTGGAGTGCTTTTGTACAGGGTGCCAGCCAGGCCCTCTTCCAAGGAACTCCGTTCCGCTCCTGCCCATTCTGTAGCCACTGAGCATGCCCAGTCCTCATGGGACTGTTTTTAAAGTTTTCTCTCTGTTTTCTCTCCTAAAGTCTCTCTTGAGCTTCTGCAAATTGGGGGGTGTGCCCCAGTTCCATTTGGGGGTCGCACAAACAACTTTGCTGAAGAGGTTTAGGTGGAGCTTCACCTTGCCGTCGCCTCCATTCGCAATATCATATTTTGCTTGGCAAGCTGTGGAAGCGAGCGCTATGTCTCCAAGGAGTCTGAGGTAGAATAGGTGAGGGATGTCTGCCTCTCCCCCACCTTAATTAAACCATATTTTCAGTGTACATGCCCAGCCTGTGTCTAGGCATGAGTGAGGGTATTTATGGACTACTTTTCTCCTGCCCTGGAGGCACACAATTTTGCCTTCTTGAAGCGGCAGCGCATGGCTTGAAGGATAAGCGAATTGCTGTTTATGGCGTGATGGTTGGCTCCGTGCAGCTAATCACAGTAATTAAAAGAGACTGGGAGACGGCAGAGATAACAGCTGCAAGCCGGAACTTGTTTGGTGCCACTGCCACATTTTAGTCCAGAGTTCACCTTCTCCAGCGCTTGAAGTGTCTTTTTGAAATAATCTAGAGGCGGCGTTTTCAGCTAGGAAAATGTGGAATTCCCGGGGAATTAGCAGTTGAAATGCGAAATCTTATGGCTGCCGAGTTTCATCCACTGGTTAGATTAGGGGGCGAAGGACCCTTTTGGTGGAACAAAGCAATCTTCCCTCGGTTGACCGGCGAGCTCCATTAGTCCCAGAGATGGAGGCTGCAATGAACACGTCTGCAGGCAGCAGGTTTTTCAAACCCTCTTTAATGCAAGTAAATATTTAAAAAGAAAAACGCCCTGCAGAGCTTGGAAGAGGTGTTTCTACCTGTGCAAGAATGCCTCTTCAGAAACTTCCGAATGGATGGATGCATTCTCGGCAAACATGCTCTAATTTGTAGGTTTTTTTCCCCACGTGCATGTAATCAGTTTGCAGTTTGAAGCAGCAGAGAAGTCCATCCGAACTGGATGACACCCTAGTCACCAAAATTGTATATTATGTTTTTTATGGGGTGTTTTGCCAGCGTTCTCTTGGCAATCCTGGAAGAGGGCTGTTTGTCCCTATAAAGGGTACAACTGAGTGTAGGAATCAAACCTAAGACTCTTGAACCGTAAAGTTTTCATCACAGGGGCTTCCCTGCGGAGAAACTGCATCGTGGCAGGACAATGTTTAGACACGGTCTGGAGCAGAACAATTTTGCTCCTTCCATTAGGCAGGGTATCTCAGAGGCAGTTTTAGGTAGAACGTTGCAAGGATACAGATGATCAGCTTAATTCGGGTGTAGATGGATGCCAGGCTCCTGGGATCGCACAGAAGCCCGTCAACTTGAGCCGTACCCAAAACGGCGGCTCAAGAGTGAAGTCAAATTCAGATTTCTGGTGGCGATGCTTCACTCCTGTACTTATGAACACATACGGATTTCGATCCAAGTGACTGCAGTTTAGGAATGCGAACAGCCTTAGCTTGGCAGTGGGGATTAGTTAAATCTTTTTTGTTACTATTGTTAAAGGATTAGAGAGCAGAACCCCCTGCCGCCACGCCACAGATCCCAGTCTTGTTTCGGCCCACCCTCGATTTAATATATTGTTATATTTCTGCCACATGGGCTGGAAGAGTAAGGTATGATCTCGATTTTTTTATTTTGGCCTCGGGCGCGCCTAATGTCATAGGCCAGGCCCTAATAGAGCGATCCCAGACTCTGGAATTTGTTAATTAGAGGCCCACGTCCACTTGGGAATGTCTCTGGCGATTACTTGGGGTTTAAAACGGGGTCGCTGCAGACTTCCCTCTAATGAGGCCGTCTGAAGAGGTGGCATGATTTGGAAAACCCAAAATAGCCAGTGATAGAGTGCAAAACGCTAGGATGTTTTCTGAATGCTGTTGCGTAATAGGGGGATGCTGCTCTCTGGAGACATCGCACATCGGACTGTTTAAAATCACCATTGCTTGGCCCTTCCTCAATAGAGGGGGAGAAATAGAATGGACCCTTGCAAGATGGTGGTTTGGGGTGTGAAGGATCCAGTCTGGGCTTTCCCTAATGAACATACCCCTCTCCAGCCGTTTGGTGTGCTTTCTTGATCCTCAGAAGCAATGTCATTTCTCTAGTGTATTTCAGGTGCAAAAGCTTTCCCCAAATTGCTCTGGATTGCTTCTCCTCTCCTGCAGAACTGAGCTCTCCTGCATCTTCAGAACAACCCTTTAAGGTAGATTATGTTGCCTGTCTTACAGGTAGGGAGCTGAGGCAGAACAACTCGCCTAAAAATACGTAATAAGTTCAGGACAGAGGTAGAATTCAAAATGGGGCCTGCAGTGATTGGTAGCTGAGGTTCAAGGACATTGCATGCTGCTAGATCTCATGGTGTAAATTGTGAGTCCCAGTGCTAATGGTTGGATTTGGGGTGCTGGGGGCGGGGGGGTTGTGCAGACAGCAGTTGCTAGAAAAAGTCAAAGGAAATGACAGCCTTAGCAAGAACTAAGCAGCGTTGCATGAAAGTCCTTCCTTTGAACAGGCAGCTAAGTTGGAATGACTGGAGGAACTCCCTTTACAGAAGACCCTCTGCTGGGGGCAGTGAGAATGGCTGGAAATAGCGAATTAAGGCGGATTAACGCATCATGAATTCCCACGTGCTGGATCCTCCTTGGAGGACCAGCTAGAGAAATTGCCACAATGGCTTCCTGCGCAGCTGAATTTACTAGTCCCACACGATCCACCGCTGCGAAGGCAATTACAGAGCCCACAAAAACCTTGGAGGTTAATCCTGTAAGTTTCCCCTGTGGAGAAGTACAGTAGAGATGAGAAAACACTGATTTTCCAGATGTTGGCAGCTGCCCAACTCTAAAGGGTCACCCCTTTCTCCTTTGAGTGTATAACTTCCCCTTTTTTGAGGTTGGGGAGATATTCTTATTTCTAGGCCCCGAGATTTCTAGCTGGGCTCCCAGCAGCCCTGGCCAGCATAGCCAGTGGCTGTGGCTAATGGGAGTTGTGGTCCCCTCAACATCCAGCCGCAGTGCAGCAGCAGCAGCTTCTTGAACTGTTAGCTGGAAAGAGGCGTTACGGCCACTCTCTGTGGCACCTGCCTCGGCTGGGAGGCTCACGGGCGAAACGAAAACCAACATCTCGGCTTGGCAGGACGCCCGGATGTTGTGCCTGCGAGCTCGGCACCGCACCCACTGAAACTATCTGCTGTTTGGGGAGGTGCCGAGCTGCAGCCCTGCGGCAAGAAGAGTCTACCCCCGCACCCGGTGAGGGCAGCCCACCCACCCACTCCACGGAGCAAAGGCTAGAAAGATCCCCACCACCCTTGAGTAGGTCAGCCTTCCTCTGCAGCCTTCTGCGGGACTCTATGCTAGCTGGGGATGATGGGACTGCACTTGGAGCATGGCCGAAAACGGGTCCCTTTTGGTAGCTATCCAAGTGGGAAGTCAGAGCAAAGAGGTATGGGTTGCGGGACCATTGGCAAACACTGCCCCCATGAGGACTAGCAGCTTCCTGGGGGTTCAAAAAAGGAGATTCCTGTTGGCTTCGAAATGACCACGTCCACGGCACACCTTCCTGTGCTGGGACAGGAGGTAACAGGGACAGCCCCACCCCGATTTGGGGGCAGGGGACTTGCTACTGTCTTGTTTGCAGGGGTGAGGTGGCCAAGGGCACCTGAGAAAGGCAAACAGCCCCTTCCTCAGCTGCTGGCAGAACGACATGTTTGCTCAAGAGCCAGGGAGGAGACGGTGCGTGGCAGGAATGAAGGATGTTTGCTGGAGTGTCACAGCTGCACAAGGCAGCGGAGGAGGAGGAGGAGGAGGGCCTGGCAACGGATGCGGGACAGCTCTGTGTTTGCACACAGACTTGGATTAAGTGTTCCCCAGGGCTTGTGCCCACTCCGTTCCGTTCCCCTCCCCTCCTTACAACAACCCTGCAGGGTAGTCATGCGCTGCAGGGCACATTGGACCTAGCTTGCCCTGGTCCTTGAGCGGGCAGCCACCAGGGCTGGAAAGACGGCAGCCCAGGCAGGTCTCTCTTAGATTTTTACTCCGTCAACGGCATCTCCAGATGCCCGAGAGGCACACCGGGGGACGGGCACAAGCTAGGAGTCGAGGGAGGCTGGGCCCGGGAACAAAACGAAAAGCCAGAACCAAGCCACACCTTCGCATGCACCCGGTTTCGCCCCAGCAGCCTCACCAAGAGGGTGGCAGGGCTTGGGCCTGTGTGAGGCGGGACACCTGGCGGATCGGCTGTGCCTCCCCAGCAAGGCCCGGTTGGGCAGCGGGTACGGCAGGAGCCTCCCCTTCTCCGGCCAGCCCGGCTCCTCCTCCTCTCTCCCCTCTCCCAACCCTTTCAGAAATCCTCGGGCAACCACACCCATCTCTCCCTGGAAGGACCAGGCTGTTGGGGCACATGGGCCGTTTTCCGTGAGCAACTGCAGCAGCCGGATTTAGAAGAAAACACAGTCTTGTCTTGGCTGCCTTGGATGTCCCTCTTTTTAGTGGAGGCCAGGTTTTTTCAAGATAATTAAAGAGGAGCATGCCCTTTGCTTGATCTTCAGGTGGATTAGCACCCTGCATTAGCAAGGTGGGAAGAGTTTGTGCAAAGGCCACTATGCACAAACACAGCCCTCTAGGTTGGGGGGATTGGGGGTGCTGAAGAGGCCTCACAAAGAGGCCAGGCAGAGCGGATGCTGTAGGAACACACGCCTGGAAAGGGCTGGGTTTGGTCGACCACAGGAACGAGGCTACCCAGACAGACAAAGGGGGTGAGCCCACCAGCCCCATCCGCAGGAAGGGGCGGCAGGGCAGGTGGGGAAAAGCCTCACACGCAAACCCAAAACTCCTCCCTTGGGGGCAGGACGGGGGCCCAGAACGCCGTGATCTACGGACGATGTCCAGTTCCGGATTTCGGGACCCGGTTTCCTTCTGTGGATGCAAACCAGCACGCCGGGGCCAGAGTGACATTTCCCACAATGCTTTATGAACCCCCCAGGAGGGGTGAACAAAACGACCCCCAAGTCTCCCCCCTGCAGCTCCTGGTTTGGCTGCGACGGAGGGAGGGAGGGAGCCAAGCTGGAGCCGTGCAGTTTGTGTAGTTTGTCCTGATCTGGAATGGGGAAAACTCGGCCAAGCGGACCCCGTGTGTTGTCCAACGCACATTTGTCAAGGCACTGCAGATCTGACACCTCGGGGACCGACAGGCGCAGGTGGCACACGGAAAGGGGGGGCGCCCCCGCTGCAGCCCCCCAGCTGTGTCCAGGGAGAAATCGCTGCCTTAGCCGAACATTCCCATATAGAGCTGTTTCTCCTTCTGGTGATGGCTGCTCAGCTGAGACTCCGTCAACTGCAGGTAGCGTTTCACGTTGGCGTCTGCGGGAGCGAGGTGGGAAGAGGAAAGAAAGGGTTAGCACGGAGGTGGCTGGGCGGCGTGGCCGTGTGCCTTCGGGCTGGGCACCAACTCTGAGCCTGGCCTACCTCGCAGGGCTGTTGTGAGGAACGGGGGATGTGGAGGGAGATTCGGTAAGCCCCCCATGGCTTCTTAAAAGAGGAAAAACAAAGGCTGGTAGGTAAATAAAAAGCGGGCTTTGCCACTTTCCCTTCATTGTTCCATGCTCATTTGGGCAACATTCTAGTCCACAGTAACTATTTGCAGTCTGGCCTGGGCCAAGACAGGAAGGAAAAGCAGCAAATGCAAACCTTACCTAACCTAGATTCATATTCTCTTGATCGGTCGGTCGGTCGGTCGGTCGTGCGCGCGCGCGCGCGCGCTCTCTCTCTCTCTCTCTCTCTCTCTCTCTCTCTCTCTCTCTCTCTCTCTCTCACACACACACACACACACACACACACACACACACACACACACACACACTTTTTTCCTTCGGTGGGGGGGCCTTCCATAATCCCTTTCTATTTCTATCCTCACAACAACCTGTGCGTAGATCAGGACAAGAATCGTGTGTCTGAAGTCGCCCAATGGCTGGGCAGGGAATAGAACCTGGTCTCCTGGATCCCACGTTGACCCTCTGCGCCAGGCTCGTCCTCCGACAACCTCTCGCTGGCACTCCGCATGGCCAGAGGGTCTCCCCTCCCAGCCCCGGGCAGGTCCGGGCCGCCTTAGCTTTCCTGGAGCAGTTGCTGCGTGCGTTCTGACCGTACCCTGGGACCAGCGCTCACATCCTGATCCTACCTGTTTATCTTGTTCCACTGATTACAGGCAAGCGTTTCATGGCAGCCTTTTTGGCTGAGCAGTGAGCTAAAAATACTTAAAATAAATAATCACCACCAGATAATCCTACGAGCACATCTCCCCACCCACCCAAGCAGTCCAAATACAATAACAAGGAACAAGAAATTGCCGCCCTTTCAGAACATCCAAGATCACCTGCCCGGGGCCATCGGATGCGGTGGCTGAGGATCATGGGAAGGTGCCCCGTTGGGGAAGGCTTGACGCAATCAATCAACAGGTACTACCTTACAATAGTAAGGTCAGAAACACCGTTCTGTGGCTACCGGTTTGGGGAACCCCTCACCTTTGGGCTGCTTGCTGGTTGCAGATAGGAAAAAATGGCGCGCTTTGTCATAATCCCGCAGGTGGTAGAAAGCCACTCCGGCCCGGTACAGGGCCTTGGTGTTGTCTGGCTGCCTTTCCAAGACTTTGAGGCTGTATTCTTTCACTCGATCGTAATTCACGGGTTCCATCTGCAAGAGGCAGGCTGTAGGAGAGCAAGCGGTGTTGCTAAAAGACCAGGAACGGCCCGCAAGTTCTCAGCCGGAAGGGAGGAAATACTTCCAAAGGTGCTCACCCCGTCGGCCAACCAGCTACCAGGGTGGAAGGAAAGCCGACGCACGAAACGGAATCCCAACCCGTCAGATTTCCCGGTTTGATTTGTGCCGTTTTTCCCCATTGCAAGATGTCGAAATGGCTCTTCTAAAATTTAGTTATGTTTTTAAAAACTGCTGGCTGCGCCCTTTCTCCTTGGACCCTCTGACACTGGAAGGCAGTTCCCGAGAGCGACTCCAAAGTGAAATGCAGCCCTCAAGCTGCGAGAGCACCAAGGCCCTCATGCTGGTGGATAATGGACCATTCACTTGGGGGAACTGGCTGCCTGGCATGGTCGCAGACGCCAGTTCGGTAGCCTGGAAAGGGTTTTAGGCAACGTTCTTACACTGACAAAGAGCCTCAGACATTTTCTCAAGATCCTATTCCCCAGCCAGGTCCAGCAGTCTAGAACAACAGTTGGCTTTGTTGGTACAAGCATCTCTAGCCACCATTTTTATTTCCCAGAATGCCCTCTGCTACAGCATCCTCCCGGGGCACTGTGGGAAACCAATGGTGGCTGCTCCCAGCCAGCTCCTTTTCAAAGTTCCCCTACCAGAAGGGAATTTTTTAAGCCAAAGGAGGAGATTAAAAGCTCCTCTCTCTCGAAATAAGGTGATGAAAAGGGTACGGCAGGTGCTAAGATAGGATACATTTAATGATTTAAAGCAGGGGACAACAACCGTGCTGGGCCGAGGGAATATGCCCGAGGGAACTCGCTGGGTTACCTGCAAGGTTATTGTAACAGTCACTCTTGATGCTGTGAAACACCTTCTCCTGAGCAGCCGTCATGGGCGGCCTCCCCGCACCAAATTCCTGCAACGGGGACGGCACGCTGGGGTCCAGCCCTTTCACCTGCAGCAAGGCCCAGTGGTACCGGCTCACGGCATCGCGGAAACGCCGCTCTTTGTAACAGCGGTTCCCTTCCTCCTTGAACGCCCCGGCCTGCTCCAGGCGCAGCTCCAGGGAGCACTCGGATGAAGCCTGCGAGGAAACGCGAGAAACTTGAGACAAGCTTCCAAATCGAGCTGTAAATGCTTTCCCAGGGGTTGCTGGAGGCGGCATGGGGGGAACACATGGGATCTGCACCCCTGAAACATTCCAGTGCTGTCCATCACAGTGTGGACTTTCCAGTATTTAAAAAAGTTGCCACTAAAGAAAAAGAACGATTATAAAAGGCAAAAATATGTGGCTATATAAGTAGACACGTATTCTAGTCCCTAGGATGATTTGGGTTATGTTGAAATTATTTCGGTGGTTTCCTAGCTTTACTCTGTCACCACCCCACCTCCACTCTAAAAGGTTCAAATGTCTCTCTTAAGGGTTAGTTACGGGTGGAATGAACTTGAGGACACAATTTAATGGCTGTTCAAACAGAAAAGGCCTACAAATTCTAGTATTCCCGGCCCTTTGTTAAGATCAAATATCCTGGAGTTTTGGGCACCAGCCAGATGTGCCCCCCACCCATATTGGATTTGGCCTTCAGATTGAAAGATTTCGAACATTGCTTGCTTAGAGAAATGTACTCTCAACATGCCCAGAGGCTCCCTTTGCTACTGAAATCCTTCCAGAGCTAAGCTCAGCTACTCAAAGGCTCTGGGTTCAAGCCCTAGCCAAACTGGGCACTGAAGAAACAGAGAATCAACCTGTGTGAAGTAACCTGACAATTTACTGAATTTTTCTTAAATTGTTTTTATTAAGTTAAAAAGGACAGCGGCTTTGTGTTGAAGGATGGAGCCCCACAAGCTCATTTTCATCCCCTCCAGGTACAACTGCAAGATGCACCACCAAAGTCCCGTGTGCAGGAACACCTCTGAAGGAACATCTCCTAACACAGGATCCTCCAGATGCGTTTGGCTGCAGCTTCCATCATCCACGATCAGGCAGGGAATGATGAGAGCTGTAGTCCGGCGGATCTGGGGGCACCAGATCGGAGAAACCCGCAGTGTCTCTCCGACCAGGCACACTCCTCTCTGATGGCACTTCTGGCTTCACGTGGCCGCCTCTTTGCCCGGCCCGGCCCGGCCCGAGACGAGCATCTGGCGATCCCCCGCAACACGCGCCCCAGCGGCTCCCCGCGACGCCGCTGGCGCGCCGCCCCGCCCGCCGGGGATGATGGGCCTTGCAATCCAGCTTGGAGCAGGCTCGTCCGCGCGGCGGTCCCGGGCCTTTGCAACGAGCACGGAAGCTCCGCGCTAGCTCGGTACCTTCGCCGCCGTCGCCATGGGGATCAGGGCGGGCTGCCGACCATTCCCGCTCGCGGGTCTCCGGGAGCCGCTCCGCGAGCTGGAAGCGACGCGACGCGACGGGGCGGGGCACTACAAACATGGCGGCCGCCCGCAGCCGGGCCACGTGACCCGGTCAGCTGATCGGGGACGCCGAGAAGGAGCCGGGCCGATTTTAAAAAAGGGAGGCAGTGACTGCTGAAGGCTGTTGTCTTATGTCTGTCATCCTGAACAGAAGGAGCCTGAAATCTCCTTCATAGACGTGTGGACGTTTTTATTATTTATCTGTATTGTGCCATACAAAAGCGACCGAGCCACCCCGCCAAAAAGAGGCAAAAAGAAGGGGGGGAAGATTCGTTTTATTTAATTTAATTTAATAGTAATGCATTCGGAGTAATGCAAGAGGAAGAAATCGTATTTAAGAAACGGCCGCAAATCATCCAAACTATTGCACTCCCGATCGCCATGTGAAAGCTGCACGGAGGAGAAAGCGGACGGGAGGGAAAGAGATGCATTCAAAACACGGTGCCGGAGGAGAGCTTTGCGAGTCGCTTGACTGGCAGAAAGGCAGCGAATGCGGTCGAGGATCAAATCTAGCCGGAACTTGCTCTGCAGGCAACAGTGAGGAAACTGAGGCTGTCCTGCTTTGGACGCTTCAAGGCAAGACCATCATGCTGGGGAAGTCGAAGGCAGAAGACGGGGAAAGCCAAATACGGGATGGAGGGACCCTATACATCGCAAGAGCTGCCCGGGACAGGATTTCTTGCAGGGCTTCCATGCAGAGGGTCGCCGTCCTGAGGCTTTTTGCGAATAGGACGGCATATAAATAGCTTAAATAAATAAATAGTCAGAATCTAGCGGACACACAGCATTTCTTCGGCTCCCAAACCCCATCCAAGCGCGGCTGGTCTTGTCCCCACTTGGAAGACCTTCCAAGTTCAAACGCCGCCTTTTCTGAATTGGCTTAACTTGCCTGCTAGATTTGCAGGTGTTTTCTAATTGCACATCTCCTTAGGCATCGGTCCCGCCAAATCTGCTAGGAAGGTTTAGGATCTATTGTTTATCTGCTGCTTGCTGTTTGGGTCTGTCCTTTGCAGTCGCTATTAGCCACCTTGAGGTCTAGAAAGGCAAGGCAAGACTTTTTCGACGCTTTTCCAGGAAATAAATCAAAGCTTAGAAAGGGGAGTAACTCTTGAGTGCCACGGAGAGCTCCTGGCAGTGTTGGATTTAATACAGAAAGCCAAAGTTGGCTGTAAGAGAAATATCCAAACGGGTGTTAGCGCAATACCTTTACAAGGACAAGTGTCGGGCTGCACAAGCAATGGGAGATGGCGATGGCTCGTGGTGAAGCCCTGGGGCCAGCATTTAGTCAGCCTTAAGCAGCCCCAACTGGTGCTCTTGGAATATATGATTCATTTCTATACTACCTGATGCTCTCCAGGCAGTAAGCAATAGGACATGGGACTACAGTTCCCATCTTCGCCCGTCAAAATGGACTATAGGTGATAGGAGTCGTGGTGCAACACATCTGGAAGGTATTGGAATGGGGGCAAGTCTGAACATTGCACCTAGCACCGTCCTTACGGCTACTACGTTGAAGGAACCAACTGGTTGAAAAATTACGTTTTTGAATAGTGGGAAAGTCTATAGTTGCCAAGCAGGTCGCAATTCAACGGGTGTGGCATCCTGCGGGGACCTGGCAGGCACGGCAGTTTAGCAAGCTGCACCCGTTGAATTTCTGCCTGTCAAGGCAACTGTTTTAGATATGTTAAAGGACCGTTGGCACCGGAAGAAGGAAAAGGCAGTAACTCTTGACACTTTTTTAAGCTCTGAGGCTTTTCAGGGCAAAATGGCGGCACCCTCAAATTGATGCAAAACGAAAAAAAAGGGTGGGGAAAAGGCGCGCGGCAGTCCAACCAATTAGAAAGCGGCTTTCGCCCATTTAGGCGGAGCGGCACAATGACCTTTCCATTCTAATTGGTTTAGCTTCAACCAATCAAAAAAAATCATCCCAGTTTCTAGTGTACACCCAAGAGGCTCGAGCTGCCCGCCTAAAATCAACCACAGCGCACGTAGGCCTCGGCGCGAGAAATCAAAGAACGCATGCGCAGCAAAAGTGCGCGGCACTCATCCGATTTCCAAAACAAAACTAAACCCTTAAAAAAAAAAAGGCAAGGCTGCGCAGGCGCCTTGTGTGCACAGAGCCTGGAGTGATCGTTTTGCGCGCGGAAAACTGAAAAGGGGGGGAGGGAAGGGGCCGAAGATTAAAGCTAGCGTGTGCGCATGCGCCTGTTGCCCGCTTCGATGCGTTAAGCCACGCGCCTGCGCCCTTTCCTCCCATCTCATCTGGGGGAGGAGTCCGTGCGTCCCGCGGCTGAGCACTAGAGAGCGCCCGGAAGGCCGCGCCTGCGCGTGAGAGGATTTGGGGCGCCTGGTGAGGGCGGGGGGAGGAGAATCATCTCTGGGCGCAGGCGCGCGAGACTCGGGCGGCAGGGGTGTCGGCCGCCAGCGGCTGAGCCGAGTTCAGAGCCAGGGAAGGAGGAGGGGGGGAGAGGGGAGGGCGGCAGAGCGGCACTCCCGCGCAGGCGCAGTCCCGCCAGGGCGCCTTCGTGCTCCTGCTCGCGCCCTCCCCCGCTCGCGCCCTCGCTCGCTCGCTCGCGCCCTCCCTCCTCCCCCTCCCTCATCCGCGGAGCGCGCGCGCCATGGACGTGAAGCGGCTGAAGGTGACGGAGCTGCGGGCCGAGCTCGGGCGGCGCGGCCTGGATTCGCGCGGCTTGAAAGTGGAGCTGGCCCAGCGGCTCCAGGAGGCCCTGGACGCCGAGATGCTGGCGGCCGGGCCTGAGGAGGCCGGGGCGGAGGCCGGGATGGCCGCGGCGGCGGCGGCCGGGCAGAGCCTGGGCAGGGCCCGCCTGGGCGTCGGAGGCGACATCGAGGACGACGACGACGAGGACGAGGAGGAGGAGGAGGAGGAAGACGAGGAGGAGGAGGACGAGGAGGCGCTGCTGGCCGACGAGGAGGAGCCGGCGGCGCTGCCGCCGCAGCAGCAAGCGGGGGGCGGCCAGGCCCAGGCCCCGCAGGCCGGCGAGCAGGGCGAAGGCCCGGCGCCGCCGCCGCAGCCTGGCACTGGCGGCGGCGGCGTCAACGGCGCCCA